ATGTGTCCAAACCAAATTGATTTGATACAATATAAATAGTACAGTAAAATATCTACAAAATTTAGCAAAAAAGATCCATAACTTAATTTCTTACTGGTTATTGTGCACTGAACTGCCAAATTGATAAATATAAAACAGACTTAATCTTATCAAACATGCCTTTTCATCAGAGTCTCACAGACGAAGAGACATTAATGTATAAATAATTACTTCTATTTCATCGATTAGTGTCCCAATTAATTATTTAATCAGATACGCGATATTTTAACTGAATTTCACTCTGAAACATCGAAATGACGACGAACAACGTTTTAAAAATTCATAGAAAGATATCGACGAAGTTTATTTCCACGCCATCATAGCAGATTAGCTGTGCTTAGTTGTGGACAAAAGAAGATCTTGAATGATGGTTGAAGGATATTTGTAGACTCAAATCATAACAAACTAGGTACGCAGATGATATGTCCGCCACAAGAACTGTTGAAGAACTCTTTAAATGGTGGAATCATAAGGAATTATGTAACAAACAAAATCCAAAAGTGGGTTGCAGATATGTTTGAACAACTTGAATAGAATTGAATGACATTTTCCAATTATGTTATACAGCGAAACATAAAGCCCAGACTATCTAATGTCTATTTCGCGACCAAAGGCCTATTTCAACGGTCGACCTTCTTTCAGCGAACAATAAAGATAATTTCGAATTTAGTATTATAGTGGCACATCTATTTTATAATGCACAGGCGTACCACGAAAACCTGAATGAACAATAAAATTGAAAATACTAAACCCTTAGAATATAACCAGCTCAGTATAGCAGTTCGAGCTGGTTCGAGCGTGCTATTAATTACTCAAGCACTAAATGAGGATCGCGACAAAAATGGACATTGTGAGTTGGAAAAATTTTCAATAAAAAAAATTTTTATTTTGCTTCTAAAATTCTCTGATAATTAATAATATATCGTGACATGTAATTGTAAGATAACAAACCTCGCGCGCGCAGCGCTTACATCTGCACCTGAGAATCTCTCAGAAATGTGTGGCTGTCTGCGCGGCGGGCTGTGTATTGTGTATATAGCTGAATTTAAATTTAGATTTATTTGTAAATGTATAATAATATTAAATATGTATTGATTGTTTTGTGGTAAATAAAAATTTTGTTTTACTAAGAAATTTTGTTTTACTAATATGGCGCTCGATTTAAGCAAGCAATAGACCAAAAACCTACACGAGCCGCGCGAGTTGGACTCGCGCGCGTCGACGGTATAATATTTGAAACCAATATTTTACGAGTATTACCCGTTAACTTACTGGGCCGCGCTCAGCCTGTCATTCCGCCTAATCTCTATTCGTAAACATGATAGCCAGAGGTCCCCAGGTAACCGTTAACAAGCTAAGTCTAGTGTTCAGTGTCCTTAAACATTAAAAGCCGCGCGTCCGCTGATTCATGATTCCCCAATTTGGATTAATGATAATTTCTTGAAACAGAAGCTGAAGGATAGCAGCTCAAAAGGCCCAATGCGCTGTTAACAAGATTAAGGGCTCAAGTTCCAATATTAACTTTTCCAAACCCCCCTCCCTTAATCATTCTACTTTTATTTTGACTTCGTAACACTTGCTTTGGCCGGACTAACATTGCATTTTGAGAAAAAAGCGGCGGGTGCTTGTTTCCAGTAAATAGGTCATAGTATAGTATTTGTAGCGCGATGCATAACTGTGCCGCGCCGCGCACTCAATGAGGCTTCTCACAAAATGCGCTACTGTGCTTTGCCGAGCTGCGATGAATTGACGTCGTCAATTAAGTATAGTACATGTTTATTTTTTGATTATTTTTAACGAGTGATACATATTTGTTCCAAATATTTACAAATGCAGGACCGTCGTCGAGTCCAACTCGGCGCGCGTCCTGGTAGGTTATAAACCTACAAATTATTTTTTGCATTTTATTTAGCAAAGCATTTTTATTATTGATTATATATATATATATATTATATATATAATATATATATATATATTATATATATAATATATATATATATATATATATTATATATAAATTTAAAGTATCGTTCCATTGTAGCGCGATGCACTTGTATCACGTGGTGACCCCCACTGTCGCTTCACTATAGTGTTTCTACGATACAGGGGAGCCGCGCACTCGTGCGCGGCGGGTCATACAACGTATGACAACAATGCACTACTGGACCGCGCCGTGCATCTTCTCGCAACCACAGATCGGTAAGATGCGAAAGATTGAAATTGTGAATAAAATCATTACATAAATTAAAATCATTACATAAATTAAAATCATTACATAAATTAAAACCCAACCTTTGTATTTGGTATTGGTATTCATATTACGTTTTGAATTTTTTATTCCAACAATTTAAAAAAAATCAATTAATGAATGTTAAAAAGGACTTCCAAATATAATTCAAATTTCAACTACGCCGCGCATAATAGTATAATATTTAAGCGAACTAAGTACAAAGTCAAAAGTAAAGCTGTGAAGTAATATACTGTTTGAAGTAATATACTGTTTATATTGTAAGTAATATTGCTTTCCGGTTTTTATAAGATGTTAGTGCATATTCGGGTAATTGTGCCATTCTTCAACGAGTTCGCCAATTATTGTTTCGATGACCGACCTTGCAATATAAGTGAATTTTGTAATGAATTAAATTTATTTAAATTATCAATATATGACCTTAATTTTAGAGACTTATACTCACGAAATGTCGAATATCAAGGCAGATTGTCTGCCTTAGATAAAACTGCCAAGTGTACGTTTAAAGTGTATTATGATCGTTAAGACATATTTTATTCATGGGGAAGTCATACCAGTGCAACATTTCAAGTTATTAAACAGTCGTTTTCCCTGTACTGGGACAATGAGAATTTTACTTAGGCTTTTATTTATTTGGTCGAAGAGTTCCAATTGTTACTGTACAAAGTAAATGTTAGTTCTGCTAATAACACTCTTGTTTTTTTTGAGGTGCAGTAGTAGTTTGCACTGTTTGTGATTGTAAGGTTATTTCAGAATTACAACTATTGTGTACTCATTAAAGTAATTATCACTCTTGTATCCTTATATCCTTGTATCCTTGGCCGACTCTACCAAATGATCAGGAAATCTTGATCGAGGGTGAAATGAGGGGAGGCCCTGCTCGACATTTTGAATCTTGTAAGGGTACTCTTCAGGAAGAGAACGCTGTATTGAACTTTTAATCATATCGATTTATAATTATCACACCTCTAGAAACCGCTTCCGAAGTTTTCTGCTCTTCATAAAACAATTGGTGTGACCAGATTTTTATATTTTATATCAAGATTTGTACAATTTCTCAAATTAAGTTCAAAATTAGTTTTATAAAACAAACCAAAACTATATAATTATATGATATATTTCTGAATCGATTTCATGCTTTTTATGTTATTTCCAACTGGCTGCAGATATCACTAAGAAATGTAACATTTAAAGGTTAATTATGGGGATTATGAGTAAATTAGTCAAACCCTATGGATTGCTTTGCACTTAGCGTAATACTAAAGAGTGGGAAAGAATAACGCTGTAACTCTTAGTCACAATTGTACAAACGTTGCATGGGTCGCAGTTGAGAAAAGACAATTTATTTCAATCAAGTTTCATAAGATGGTGGCTACCTCAATTATTGTTTCTACTTGTCTTTGTTGAATAATAACAGATCAGAGGAGACTCGAGGTATTGAGTGACAGCAGTCTTATATAAATTGATGTGCTCAAAAAGTACTCTGCTCCAGCTCATGGATATGATAGATTCCAATATATAAAATAGTTCATGTCAACTTTAAGGGGGCCGGGGCGGGGGGGGGGTCTTCATCAAAATTCTCTCGAAATTGATTTTATAGTTGTTTCTGATAGAGGTGAGTGATATCTACCAGCTGTTTTTAATCCCATGGAAAAATATTGTTCCTAGCCGAAATTATTGCCGGTCAAAGGTCAGCGCTTATGTGTAATTGTATTGCGTGAGCGATTTTCAATCGCGCGCCCTGAAAATCGAGTCTAAAAATCTATCTTCTCCTACATTTTTTGATCAATCACCTTGAAACTTTCAGGATATGTTCTAAGGACCATTTAGAAGAGATTGTCGGGCCAGAATTTTGAGATAGGCCTTAGAAAATTTTTTATTCAATTTTTAAAATCTTGGACCTGAAAAAATCGTCAAAAAACGAGGTCCAAGATTTTCAAAATCGAATAAAACATTTTTTAAGGCCTATCTCAAAATTCTGGCCCGACAATCTCTTCTAAATGGTCCTTAGAACATATCCTGAAAGTTTCAGGGTGATTGCTCAAAAAATGTAGGAGAAGATAGATTTTTAGACTCGATTTTCAGGGCGCGCGATTGAAAATCGCTCGCGCAATACAATTACTCATAAGCGCTGACCTCTGACCGGCAATAATTTCGGCTAGGAACAATATTTTTCCATGGGACTAAGAACAGCTGATAGATATCACTCCCCTCTATCAGAAACAACTATAAAGTCAATTTCGAGAGAATTTTGATGAAGACCCCCCCCCGGCCCCCTTAAACTTTAAGGACAATAATACTCCATATACTTAACCCTTTAAAGATCTGTACCTTTACCCTTTACTGTAAAACATCAAATTCTAGGACCATTTTGTTAACATTGCAAGCATTATTTGCTGATATTAAAAAGTGCTGTGATTTAGTGGTTCATTTTAAAATTTCCTGGGTTGCAACTAGTTTCATGCTTAAGAATTACGACTCTATGGGAATCTATGTATGACCCATATCTATGACCTCTGAAATTTATGAGCAATTCTGACCAAAATAATTTGAGTTTTTCAAGGGTTTTTTTCTGGCCCATTAGGTTTAAGTTTTTATTTTCAATCGACAGCCTTTTTACTTAATGAACAAAAATATGCAAACAAATTGCTATTAATGTTCTGTTCACAATGATAATATTATTGTTCAATTTTAAAACTAGCCTTGTTTCTAGCCAGTAGCCATGCCTGTGAGCAAAAGAACCGCCTCCGCTAACAGGGAAAAGAAGAGGAAAAGCCAAGGTGATATAGCTTTCTTACTGTAATTTGTTGAGGAATAATAAAGCACCCTTTGATTCATTGTAATAAATAGTAGTACACAGTTGTCATTGTTTCGTAGCACAAATTAAATCTGTGATTCGGATTTCATGATTATTACCTGTTTCCAAAATCAGTGATCACTTAGAATAAAATTTTTGTTTATTTACATTGATACCACAGTGAATACAGTAACATACTAGGTACCTCTAAAAACTGTTAATTATACACAACGCTTGAAGTTTTCTGGGTTTTGCTTTCTTGATTCCTTGTCCTTCTCAGCAAGTTTTGCATTAATGAGCTTTAAATCTAAATCATTAATTTGTCTCTGAAATAGTGCATATTTCTATTTGTAACTCCAACATGCGCAGTATTCCAACTCAGAGCCAAAATTATTAATCTTCTTTCGATTTTAATGATTTACAAGCTTGTTAATTAAATGAGCCTATAATATGCTATAAAACCGAGCAAGTTCAATTTTCTCTAGGAACTTATTGAGTGCCTATTTGTTTGAAATCAGAATGTTAGGGGGGGGGGGGTGTCCCAGTTCCTACAAACTTAGATTAGCTGCATAAAACTGTTGTTTCCTACTATGGAAATTAACACACAATAGATTTGGTGGCTGCTGCTACTATTGTTTCTCCTTGCCTTTGTTGAATAATAACAGATCAGAGGAGACTTTAGGTATTAAGGGACAGCAGTCTTACACAAATAGATGCGCTCTAAAAGTACTCCATGCCAGCACATGGACAAACAACAATCTGATAAATTCCTAAGATTCCAACAGTTCATGTCAAATTTACACTTCAAGAACAATACTCAGTGTCAGAGCAAAACATCATTTTCTGAAAACACATACAAGGCAAATTGTTATTAAAATTTATCAAAGCTCTAACAATGTTTTACTCAACAATTCCACTTTCTTTTCTGTCAATACCTTGAAGTTGAACAGGCTTTCTGGGTCACAGTTTGCATGCAGTATATATGCTCTTACACATCAGCATAATCTATAATATCACTTCTAAATCAATTGGATGGTAGACAATTTGGTTGAAAATTTTCAATATTCTTTTTGATTCATCTATCTGCCAGGTTTTGATGGTTTCTACTTTTCTGACGGTTCTTTGTTATGCTAGATGTGTATAATTCGCATTAATTAATCCTAAAATGTCGGAGCTATACAATTATTTCTAATGGTGCTTCAACTTTCAAGCAACATGTTAACAACTTGATTTTGTTTGTATTGGTTAGTGGTTAGGTTCACGGGTTCGCAATGGTCTGGCAGCCCTTTTGCAAGTCTAGGCAGTGGGTGCCTGAGAATTTGGTCCCTGATCCTATTTTGTTTCTCAACTGCTGTCTAAATCAAGTTTCACAAAAAATCAGGTGCTGCTCCCCCTGCCCCCCTCATGAGCTGTTTCAAATCATTTTAAGCTGAAATATATTTTATAATTTGTGAAATGATAATATTTAACTCTATCCTCATTCCACAGGTGCAACCAAAAAAGAAATGGCCGCTCCAAAGGGAAATGCTGTTCCCACTATTCTCTTCATCACATTGGCTGCTGTGTCCGTGTTTGTTCTTGTATCAGAATTCGGTTATCACATTCCTCATGTGACCCCACTTCTGAAGAGTCATAACCTGGCACACCCTATAATTTCTCCTATGCTGAAGGAATATGGCATTGATGAAAAAATCCAAACAGGATTCCAAGTGTTGAAAAACGCCTTAAAACGGGTTACCCCTGAAAAGTATCATATCCACTTTGAGAAAGCTGCTCCTGCAGAAGAAGCTGCACCTGTCGAAGAAGAAGCTGCTCCCGTTGAAGAAGAAGCTCCTGTCGAAGAAGCAGCTCCTGTCGAAGAGGCAGCTCCTGTCGAAAAAGCAGCTCCTGTTGTAGAAGAGGCTGCTGCTGTCGAAGAGGAAGCACCTGTTGAAGAAGAGGCTGCTGCTGTCGAAGAGGCAGCTCCTGTCGAAGAAGCAGCTCCTGTTGTTGAAGAGGCTGCTGCTGTCGAAGAGGAAGCACCTGTTGTAGAAGAGGCTGCTGCTGTCGAAGAGGAAGCACCTGTCGAAGAAGAGGCTGCTCCTGTCGAAGAGGAAGCATCTGTTGAAGAAGAGGCAGCTCCTGTTGTTGAAGAGGCTGCTGCTGTCGAAGAGGAAGCACCTGTTGTAGAAGAGGTAGCTCCTGTCGAAGAGGAAGCACCTGTTGTAGAAGAGGCTGCTGCTGTCGAAGAGGAAGCACCTGTTGTAGAAGAGGCAGCTCCTGTCGAAGAGGAAGCACCTGTTGAAGAAGAGGCAGCTCCTGTCGAAGAGGAAGCACCTGTTGAAGAAGAGGCAGCTCCTGTTGTAAAAGAGGCTGCTGCTGTCGAAGAGGAAGCACCTATTGAAGAAGAGGCAGCTCCTGTCGAAGAGGAAGCACCTGTTGAAGAAGAGGCTGCTCCTGTCGAAGAGGAAGCACCTGTTGAAGAAGAGGCTGCACCTGTTGTAGAAGAGGCTGTTGCTGTCGAAGAGGAAGCACCTGTTGAAGAAGAGGCAGCTCCTGTTGAAGAAGAGGCTGCTCCTGTCGAAGAGGCTGCTCCTGTCGAAGAGGAAGCACATGTTGAAGAAGAGGCTGCACCTGTTGTAGAAGAGGCTGTTGCTGTCGAAGAGGAAGCACCTGTTGAAGAAGAGGCAGCTCCTGTTGTAGAAGAGGCTGTTGCTGTCGAAGAGGAAGCACCTGTTGAAGAAGAGGCAGCTCCTGTCGAAGAGGAAGCACCTGTCGAAGAAGAGGCTGCTCCTGTCGAAGAAGCAGCTCCTGTTGAAGAAGAGGCTGATCCTGTCGAAGAAGCTGCTCCTGTCGAAGAGGAAGTACATGTCGAAGAAGAAGCTGCTCCTGTTGAAGAGGAAGCGCCTGTTGAAGAAGAGGCTGCACCTGTTGAAGAAGAAGCACCTGTCGAAGAAGAGGCAGCTCCTGTCGAAGAAGAAGCACCTGTCGAAGAAGAGGCTGCTCCTGTCGAAGAAGCAGCTCCTGTAGAAGAGGCAGCACCTGTTGAAGAAGAAGCAGCTCCTGTCGAAGAGGCAGCACCTGTTGAAGAAGCAGCACCTGTTGAAGAAGAGGAAGCACCTGTCGAAGAGGCAGCAACTGTCGAAGAAGCAGCACCTGTCGAAGAAGAAGCACCTGTTGAAGAAGACAATGTTGAAATTAATGATGATGCCCATATAGAGGCATCGGTAAATGAGTAAAATTGTGCTCACTACATCAGGTCAAATTTTAATCAATGTCAGTGTCCTAATCGGATCAGTCACGATTGAATTAGAATTTTTTAATTATCAGTTTAAAGAGAAAGTATTTAAATAACCTAATAAAGTTGATTGCAGTGTCCAACATGACGACTTGGGACCTAGATTTGTCTCAGAGATAAGGTTTGAAACATTTGCAGCTACTTTGGAAGAATTGTATAGCACAGCAATGATTAATTGTAATGAGTTCCTCAGGTTTGATTTTTTGATATTGAACTTATGTAGTAGCTGCTTTAGCCTTTAGGAGGAACTCTGCTTTTCACATCAACTGAAGATATAAAATTGTTTATGGTACATTCACGTCTTATGTTAACAGATATTATGGTATTGGTTGAGGACGTCGCTGTTTGTTTTGTCTGTGTCACTAAAATGCCTTTGCGTGATCAATCCTTCTTCTAATATGAAAGTGACCTTATGTTTTAAGATTTATGATAAGATGTGCAAACAAAAGACTCAACCTGAGCTGAGGATACTTAAAATTCATCGAATGTATTCCCAAAGAGGCAGGGACAAAACAAATAGCGATCAAATTACTTTGAAATAGTTAAGTAGTGTTAAGTCTCATCTAATTCTGTGGTATGATTCGTTTTTATATTTATTTGATTGTTGCAAATTGCCGAACGTGTAATGTAGCTCGGGGTTAATAATTATTAGATGGGCACGATAACCGATGTCTTGATTGAGTAATGGTTTAAACAATTTCATTCTTTGAATATTTGATCATACTGGTCGATGGCAATAGTGTCCTGTGTTCAGTGTGAAATGATGATCGTGTGTTTTTCATAATCAAAGATTGCTGAACTAACAGATTGTTATTGGAACGATTTTGATATATCGTGAAACACTTGATTGAATTTGTGCTATGTGAAGATATAATTACAGATCGAACATTTCTATTCCATTATTTTGGTAGCATTGATCACAGAGTTGAGGGTAATATCCTGAGTTTATTTGTTCATTGTTACCGTGTTACTCGAGCCAATGCAATGTTAAGATCATTTATTATTTATACTTACACTCTTAAAACAGTTTTATTGAACATGTTGTTTGAATTTTTCACAAAAGGGCCATTATTTCTTTATTTTCCGATTCGATTTTATCAAATCCGGGAAAATTTGATAAAAGAAGTTGAATGCACAAGTTGTCATTGATTGTAAAGCAAAATCTGAAATTCGATTGGATTCATTCCTTATTGATTCACTTCTCTGTCTATTTCATGATTACCTTCAATAACAACAATCATGATTTGACAATTCTCATCTTTAAAAGGCTTATAGGGATGCCGAGCAAAAACAAAGAAGCCACGAAACAGCCCAAAGCAGCACCTACTCAAGAAAATGGTGAGTTTGCCACATCAAGTTAATAGGAGTGATGTGAGGTATCTGAATGGAGCTAAAGTTGACCATTTCAGAGATTGCATCCCATGTAAAAATCCTTTGTGTTAGTTATTTATAATTGTAGCACTCGCGATTGAAACTCATGTAAGACTATTTTCAGGAACATCAGGTGCAGTAATTGGAGCTATTTTACTAGTATGTGCAGTTGGAGGCATGGCACTAGCAACTTCACAATTTGGCATCAACATACCCTATGTATCTCCCATTTTCCAACAATTTGGCATCGTTGCTCCAGCCAAACCTGTACTTCAGGCTGAGATACCTTCCGAAAGTGTTGTTGATACTCCCTTGAGTGAACCCGAAACTGCTCAGGAAAAAGAGGAAGCTACTGAAGACCAAAGTGAACCAACAGTAGAAGCCCCTATAGAATCTGAAGAAGAGGATCCTGCAAAAGTCGAGGAAGTGCCCTTTTCTGTTTCTGAAGATGCAGCTGAAGATGTTAAAGAAAACGAGATGGAAGCTGAGGAGACTACTGAAACAGTTGAAGTAGCTGCTCCCATAGAAGAAGAGACTGCTCCTGTTGAAGAGGCAGCTCCTGTTGAAGCAGCTCCCGTTGAAAAAGCAGCTCCCGTTGAAGAAGCAGCTCCTGTTGAAGAAGCAGCTCCTGTTGAAGAAGCAGCTCCTGTTGAAGCAGCTCCCGTCGAAGAAGCAGCTCCTGTTGAAGCAGCTCCTGTCGAACAATCAGCTCCTGTCGAAGAAGCAGCTCCTGTTGAAGCAGCTCCTGTCGAAGAAGCAGCTCCCGTCAAAGAAGCAGCTCCTGTTGAAGCAGCTCACGTTGAAGAAGCAGCTCCCGTTGAAGAATCAGCTCCTGTCGAAGAAGCAGCTCCTGTTGAAGCAGCTCCCGTCGAAGAAGCAGCTCCTGTTGAATCAGCTCCTGTCGAAGAAGCAGCTCCTTTTGAAGCAGCTCCCGTTGAAGAATCAGCTTCTGTCGAAGAAGCAGCTCCTGTTGAAGCAGCTCCTGTCGAAGAAGCAGCTCCTGTTGAAGCAGCTCCCATTGAAGAATCAGCTCCTGTCGAAGAAGCAGCTCCTGTTGAAGCAGCTCCCGTCGAAGAAGCAGCTCCTGTTGAAGCAGCTCCTGTCGAAGAAGCAGCTCCTGTTGAAGCAGCTCCCGTTGAAGAAGCAGCTCCCGTTGAAGAATCAGCTCCTGTCGAAGAAGCAGCTCCCGTCGAAGAAGCAGCTCCTGTCGAAGAAGCAGTTCCTGTTGAAGCAGCTCCTGTCCAAGAAGCAGCTCCCGTTGAAGAAGCAGCTCCTGTCGAAGAAGCAGCTCCCGTCGAAGAAGCAGCTCCCGTCGAAGAAGCAGCTCCCGTCGAAGAAGCAGCTCCTGTCGAAGAAGCAGCTCCCGTCGAAGAAGCAGCTCCCGTCGAAGAAGCAGCTCCCGTCGAAGAAGCAGCTCCCGTCGAAGAAGCAGCTCCCGTCGAAGAAGCAGCTCCCGTCGAAGAAGCAGCTCCTGTCGAAGAAGCAGCTCCTGTTGAAGAAGCAGCTCCTGTCGAAGAAGCAGCTCCCGTCGAAGAAGCAGCTCCCGTTGAAGAAGCAGCTCCTGTCGAAGAAGCAGCTCCTGTCGAAGAAGCTGCTCCTGTCGAAGAGGTAGCTCCTATCGAAGAAGCAGCTCCTGTTGAAGAGGTAGCTCCTGCAGCTGAGGAGGAAGTTACAGAAGAAGAAATTCCATCATATTTGACAGACAAAGAAAGAGAAAGATGGTCTGACATAAAAGCTAGTTTTGAACTCATGAAGACAGATGCTGGTGCAGCTAAGGAAAAGTTTGACCAATTAAACAACGACCTCGGCAAACGATCACATATTGCAATGTACGGCAGCGCTTTAGCATTAGAGAAATTAATAGAGGTTGATCCTAAACAGGAGAGAAATGCGATACAAGCATTCAGAACTGTGGTCAATTTCGGGAAAAAGCTCCCCAAAGAAATTTTAAAGCCTGCTCTTCAAAGGTATGTAAATATTTGTGTATATTTTTGCCTTAGTTCATTTAATGTTGCATAAGGATTAAGGTATAGATGATAGATCCAATAGATAATAGTTGCATAATATTATAATTGCTCACTAATATAGTTAAGTTTCTCATTTGTTCCTGAAAATATTAAGAATGTTCCGTGAGAGTTTATTAATTACAACGAAATAACATTTCATAATCATGCCTTACAATCAGTAACAGTAATAATACCATGCTCTTGTTTAAATGTACACTTGGTCACAGTACACTTGTACTTGGTCACAGACTCACAGTATAACACTCGGTCACAGTACACTTGGTCACAGTACTTGTATTTCAGTCTAGTAAGGTTACTAGGTTTCTAGGTTACTAGTAACTTGTATTTCAGTGTAGTAAGGCTGTTAATAAAGTCAGGAAGAGTGAGAATGGCAGTGTCTACACTAGAGAAGTATCTACCACACCACGGTGAAGATTTGGAACTCAACTTATTGCTAGGTAAATAACTTATTGCTAGGTAAATAACTTATTGCTAGGTAAATAACTTATTGCTAGGTAAATAACTTATTGCTAGGTAAATAACTTATTGCTAGGTAAATAATTTATTGCTAGGTAAATAACTTATTGCTAGGTAAATAACTTATTGCTAGGTAAATAACTTATTGCTAGGTAAATACTCTTACTTTTATTAGAATAACATTATAATATATGCAAAATAATATAAGTATCAAATTGCATGCTTCGTTTCTTATTTTCTCCTTTTTTTGACTACGTCTTGAATGATGCGTTAGTTATAATTGTTTAAATGTATAAAACCTTGTTTTTTCAGTGGATACTCATATACAAAATGACGATCCTGAAAAAGCCCTGGAGATTGCCGCCTCTCTTAATCAAGATTCAATTTCTGTTAAGGTGAGACCTTTTGTCTGTTTAAGTATTTTTAAATATTTCGGTCCGGTATATCCACCTTCTCTACCAAACTTCAGGACTACAACATGTTTAGTATTTATCACGTAGATGTTGTGTCCCTGGTACATTATACAAGATTAATTCAATCTTTCTTCCTTTACCATATCAACTCTAGAAAAATCTCTATCAATATCATTATATATACTGCAGCGGAACTAATCGAATCTCTTTTGAGGACCAGTTTTAAGTTCAAACTCTCATTTATCCTTAAATGCTCTTAAATAAGTATGATGACTGTAATTACTCTACTACTTACAGTATCATACTTACACAACATAGTAACATGTATATAACTGATAGGTGGCGCTATTATACCTTAGATCCAGACCCTTTACAACACGAGGTCCGTACGAACACGTATCATTATCACAGGTGTTCCACACACACACATTATATATAATATAGATCTCGTTACTGTGACTCAGCAACTGTGTGGTCGTGTCACAGACACAGAATATCACGTACTGGACACTGGTGGGTCTGCTCAGGTGTGTTCCGGTTATTATTGTACCTAAGCTGGTACAGAACCACGTACAGAACCACGTACAACATGAAATCACGTACAAAGTGGTTTAATTCGTATATTAGATTTGAACTAGGATACGGAGTTTCTTTATCTACAATTACGCTTTATTTTGGTAGAATTGTAAGGGTTTCGTGTTTTATGAAGATTAAATTTACTGTGCTGAAGTGCTATAGGCTAAAATTACGTTATGTAATTATATTAGATTATCATGGCGAATGATTGTGTGTGACTTTTCTTAGCTTTAAAAATTTTATTATTATAGATCTATGCTTTGTATTGAATATGTTAAATATAATTATTGACCAATATTGTACATCTTTTCCCGCACGCTTCAAAGCTTTTTATTGAAAAGTTGAAAGTAGTACTTCTATTTCTAAGATTGGTGAATTATGCGTGCAGAAGATAAGAGTTCCACGCAATTTTATCTATCGAACTCATACGTGTTACCTTTCTTATGAGTCACAGTTTTCTAGGAAATTACAGTTTTCTTAGAAATTCCACTGTTTCCCAGAAATATAAGTTTAATAATGAGACATGTTTTCAATAAAGGCGTTTGAAGCACACCAATCTAATCAATCGAATATTTGCAGTTGCTACAAGCGCAAGCGTACAAGACACTCTGGGACAAGGACAGGAGTGGAGAAGTAGAACCTCTGAACAAAGCCGCAGATATCCTGTTATCAGTGACTGATAAGACTGTCGAGGTTGTCTCTATGTTGGGGGACTGCTTACAGAAAGCTGGCCGACCAGATGAGGTGTGTAACTAGGTGGTAACTAGGTGGTAACTAGGTGGTAACTAGGTGGTAACTAATGATGAGGTGTGTGTGTGTGTGTGTGTGTGATTTGTTGTAAATAGTTTTTGTTGTAAATATTTAAATCTGGTTTGAAGCTATCACTACCCGGCTCAATATTATTACCGTGTTTCTTAACTGAACTAAGTGCTTAGTACAGTTTTAAGACCTGTACTAAGTACTTATGTAGTTCTGGTAAGCTGATTGGTATGTTATACTTATAAAGCACAGTTATATTACTCACAAGTGTAACACTCACAAGGGTAACACTCACAAGTGTAACACTCACAAGTGTAACACTCACAAGTGTAACACTCACAAGTGTAACACTCACAAGTGTAACACTCACAAGTGTAACACTCACAAGTGTAACACTCACAAGTGTAACACTCACAAGTGTAACACTCACAAGTGTAACGCTCACAAGTGTAACGCTCACAAGTGTAGCTATCACAAGTGTAACACTCACAAGTGTAACACTCACAAGTGTAACACTCACAAGTGTAACACTCACAAGTGTAACACTCAAAAGTGTAACACTCACAAGTGTAACGCTCACAAGTGTAACGCTCACAAGTGTAACGCTCACAAGTGCAACACTCACAAGTGTAACGCTCACAAGTGTACCACTCACAAGTGTAACACTCACAAGTGTAACACTCACAAGTGTAACCCACACAAGTGTAACACTCACAAGTGTAACACGTAACAGTAACCACAGTAACCACACTGTTATGAGTAATATTATACATAGTTAATGAAAATAACGGTATAGTAATAAAATAACGTCAACCTCATGAATCAAGTGGTAACTTTTAATGTACACATGAATTAGTATAGCACTATAATATCCATTGAGCGTACTGAATAACACGTACATGATACTGTTGCTCTTTGTACGACGTACGTGATATATGGGATAGGCCTTAAATCAGATTTTGGAATGATTAGATATTTGTAATTCAATAAAATTGTGGCAGGCATGCACTGTAGCTATATCACATTATGTTTGTTACCTACAATGTAGATGAGGAGTACCCCTTAACGGGGCATATGAAGGAAATGTTGCACAATATGCTCGAATATATTTTGTTCGGTACGTGTTTTCTCTGAATTGAGGTCGGTTTAAAAAAGATAAATGTCTTACATGATGATTGGGTTGACAAAGTTAATTTCATATGAATGTGCGAGCAGAATGCGCAAACAGCACAGATTGTCCTAGAGTTACAAGCTTTGAAACTGCCATGTCATTTATCCACTAATTATTAATTCCACTCCATCCCCTTTGTCAGGTCCATCAATTAGATTTGTAATAAAATTAGTGGAGTTATGTAAGAAATGTAAGTAAAGCAGGATAGTTTTAAAAGAATGTTGAGGGTTGTGGACGTTTCACTTCCCCGGTGACTCCTGCATTGTTCAGCTATTAGGCAACTCAACTATACAATGTGTAGTACACTAGTTATTAGCTGAACAATAGATTCGGACAACCATGAAAAATGTAAAATATGCGCGGTTTTAATTGACGGGAATGTTCTATTCTAAGGTGACAGTATTATCTACATACCCGATGGTCTAAAAGTTTTAAACTCATTCTGAGTTGCAGTTTTATTTAACCTTGAAATGAAATAGATAAATCGTCGATGCTTTCTTTTATAAGTTATAATCCTTTACATTGAACGGTTTAATTCACGGTTTTACACATTTAAAAAATGTCATTACTACGCGATAATTTCATAAACTACATTTATTTCAACGGAAATGTTATTTCAAACTGAAATGTTATCATCGCTATTCCCACTGCCTTTGTTCTAGTGATTTAAATTTCTAGCAGCAGTGAAATCACGCCATATTTACCTTACGTTTTTTAATCTTTAATCAATGAACTTTCAATCTGTTACACGAATTAGTTCATAATTTTATTACAAACAAATCACCAAATCACCTGTATAGTACATGGCTTGTCAAGTGACCGAGTGTAAACAAAATTAGGGACACCGAAACAACAGATTGCCAGAAACTGGTCATAGCAATTACATCGGGCCGTAAGTGCACCGCACCTATAAGTGAAGTGATGCTGCAACCAAGGCATACTAGGTTTGTTCAATTAATGAACTAAAAAGCTTAAAATATAGATAGGCTACCGGACAACTGAACCCAATATGACAATTTAGACTAACCCTAACTCTAACCCTAACCCTAACCAATTAAGCTGATTGGTTAGTGGGAACTAGGTTTAATTGGGTTCAGTTGTCGGTCACCCAAAGCTAAAGATATATCCACAATAAACAAAAAATACAATATCGTTATCTAAAACAGGAAATTTAGAGTACTGATTAAGGATTTGTACGGGGTTAAAGATATCGAATCAGAATATTGATTTATCTGTGGAATTAAAATCTCAGGAATGCGCACAAATCTTTAATTAATAAAATGGCAAAAAAAAAAGTGCTGTGAAAGATGAATGGAATTTAACAATTGGATGGTTACCAAACGACTAATTCGGTGATAAGAGCTCCACTCAACTGATTGTTTGATCGATCAATCTGATTAACAAGTCCAAACCAGTATTCTGGTTCATTCATACTTCACTGTCTCACATCGTTCGAGGACGTGACACCTTTTTATAACAGGTTATTTCTGAACCGTCCAATTCTGAACCGCCCTATTACTCACAGTTCCTTTTATGAACAATATTATCATTCCTAAATCGTCTCATCATGGTTTGTTACCGATTCCTCAGTTTCTTCATCTGTACGTTCCTTATTTTCCACGACAACGCATCACGTGCCATCCCTCCCCTCGCCATGATCGGTGGAATGGCAAAGAAGAACTGCTCGGACCCACTGGACACTGGTGACTACTGCTGGGGAGACCAACTCAAAGCTACCTTCCTAGGAGTTTTCTACTACGGATACGCTATCCAGATGGTCAGCACGTATCTGGCTGTAAGGTTGGGGTTCACTAGATGTGTTAGACTAGCTACGTTTATCTGCGGGGTAGTGCAGCTTACTGTTCCCGCCACGGTCGCCCTTTCTCCCGTATTAGCGACCATCGTTCAGGGTCTCCGTGGGTTCGTGTGTGGGGTGTTTCTGAGTAACAATTTCGATTGTGCTCGAAAGTGGAGCCTCAATGACGAGGCCAAGCTGGTTATATCTCTGACTGGGATAATGGCTTACTCTGGGGCTGGAATTGGGCCATTTGCTGCGGGTCTTCTCAGTAAATCAGTAGGATGGAGGTACGCCTTTTATTTGAGTGGGGCAGTTTTCCTGGTTGCCTTGACATTTATGTGTATCTTCATGCCAGATGACCCTATAGATGCTAAGTTTATGTCAGAAAAAGAGCGCCAAATGTTTCTTAAGAAGAAGGAGAATGAAGAAAATAGAATAAAAACTGAAACAGAGGACAAACTGTCGCTGAAGCTGATATTCAAACGGAAATATCTCTACTGCTTCAGTATCTACGGAATTTGCCGAACATTCCTCTTCTTCTCAATCTCCACAATGATGCCCTTTTACTTCAACGAGGTATTTGGCACGGACTCTGAATTCCTAGGATACCTCTTCTTAGCCCTCAGCCTCACAACGGGTGTTGCTATCTTTTTATTTAGTCGGCTCCTCCCGTATTTAGACGCGAGGATCCCCTGGCTACACTGCAGGGTTTTAATGATGGTGGTACCCATGTTTCTGCGTGGTCTTTGTGTGGCTCTTGTTCCGATTACTGGAAACCTGACAGCTTCAGTTGTCCTCCTGATTATCCACAATATTCTCACGGGTACAGTATATGCTGGTGGAATATTGACCGTTACTTTTGAGCTGGACCCCATCAATTGTACTGTTATTGTAGGTATTCTGAACGGAATTGGTCAGGCATCAGGGTTCATTGCTCCTCTAGTAAGCGCTGCGTTTACCAGTCTGGACGAGGGAACAGCAGACTACTGGCAAGTGCGGGAAACAAGATGGAGAAACTTCTTCTTGTTTAACGGGGGTGTGAGTGTGGTAGGGGTGCTAAGTGTGGGGGTAGCTCTGGTGTTGGGTAGGGAGGAGTGGGTCAAACATCCCTCACTTTGTGTGCGGGAGAATGAGTGTGATATTGGTAGTGCAGTGGTAGTCACTGAATCTCAAGTGATCCAAAATAATGCAGCTACTTTAAAGTGAAAAACTTCCAGGAGAAATAGGGACCTACCTATCCGGTCATTTTGAGACTTTCAGTATTTGATTTTCTATTGCAGTCGAAGTCTTCAAATTCAATTGTCAAATGACAATTTCGGGGTTTGATAATTCTTACATTTCTATGGCTAATTTTGGGTGGTTTTAAACATTATTTTTAGCAGCTGGGATTAAAGAATATTCCCGAACATGTTAATCAAATTTGGAATTGATGGGCTGATTTGTTATCAAATGGACATTTATAGCAGTATATATAATTACATAACATATGTATATTTTAATATGTTTTATAATGAAATCGCTTAATTACGTTGCTAATTATCACAAAACTAAAATTAAACAAATCTTGAAATTCCCGCATAAAATCACACAATAAAATACTAACAACTCCCCCGTTTCAGGCCATGAAAATATACGAAGATGCTGTAGCAGCGGGATTACTGACCTCCGTGTTCCAACGTCCCAGTAGCATGAACAGAGCCCTGAAGGGAATCCCCGTGTGGACTGATCTGGAACTGACAGCAGTGGAGCTGACTCCTGAGGATAGGGAGGCGATTGTACAGGCTGTTATCTACAAAGGTAATTATCCCATGCTTACTTCCCGTTAAGTTGAAGATATTAACATATTACCTTTGTTATTTGTTGCTTTCCGACATTCCATAAAATATCATGGTATTTATGGAACTAATTTTATGCTACCCAAAAATACCTTACATAATAAATACCTTGCATAATATGTGAACAGTCCCTAAGGCTCTAAGGGATGTGATTCGGTTTCTCAAGTATATTATATTGTGTGTTATTGCAAATGGTATGTTAGTAAAGCGTACGTGGTGCTGCATAATTTCACCTAGTCAATGTCATTAAAACTGTTACTCAATTTTAATCAAGCCATGTAATGGGACCCTTTTAGCGTGTTTATTTACTTATATATATGCGTATTTTTTGTGGGCATGGACACATATTATTAGATTGTACATATTATATACTTTCTGTATTTATGTGTATATATTAACGCAGCAAGACTGCATAAAATATGTGTCAGCATTATATATATTCAGTGCTATAAAGTTATATTGGTGTGCATTGGACGCTATTTAAAAAGACATCTCGACATGACACGTATAAAATATGTAATAACTCTCCAGTCTCCACCGTACATGTTATGTACGCATGTACTGTTTTGTATTTGTTAAATCCTCGCCGGCTAAGTAATTGCTAGTTTCCTCAAGCTTAGATAAACAATTTGACACGTCATCCAAACCTGCTCCACCAAAAACACAGTACAGTAAATTGTGCACCCGCCTAACGGCTAACACTCTACTCGGCCTGAAGAGTATCATATTTAAAATATTTCCTTGTGTTTCAGGTTTATTCGGTGATATGGAGGGTGGTAATACTAGAGAGGGAGTCTGGGGCTATTTCGGTTTATCTGAGAATGGTAAATGGTTAAAAGAGGAGTGTAAAGCAGTACCTGAAATATGTAAGAAGTTAAAAGCTGCTGGTTATGGAACAGTCGGAAAGGTAATTTGATATTTAAAACTTCATTTAACGTGGAAGCGCTGCACAAATGTTATGCTTTGCGAACTTTAATGGGATAAAATCTCAACGCTATCCTTCAACAAGTTACTCAGAGAGCTATCAATTGAAATTTGACCCTATTATAGACGTGTAACTCAAGATTTGGTGAGTGTACAACTAATTTCTCTCTGGAGTTACGTGACTATAATCGGTATAGATTAGTCGCTTACGTCAGATTATTACACTCAGACGTACGTGTCGCTGCTGTACCCATCATCAAGCACATTCCCACACAACGCTGCCACTAACGAACTCTTACACCTTATAATTCCTGCTAGCGGGATTATGAACTTAAGGATCGCAGATAAAAACTTGTAAGTTATTTCAAATATTAATTGCTATCATTTTGATATTCAGCTCGCTTTGAGATGCTATATTTGTCGAAAAGAAACTGAAGCATGACTTCTGAGTTAGTGAGTGTATCCACGGCTACCTATTTGATACAGTACACGGCATATGATTCGTGTGTACGTTACTTGTATATTATGAGAAGGTGACACGGCACTTCGTGAGGCAAGGCCGTTTATCGGGATAGAATTTGCCGAGTTGTACACGTAGCAAAGATTACGTGTGTGCCACGCGCACTCGCCAATTTGATATTTGTAGAGATCACGTGACCTTGCCTAGGTGGCGCGCGCAAATTTTGCCGCGCGTTTCACCTAAAACCGCGCTTTGTTCTTAAAAATCACACACGCAGTAACCAGATGTTGCTTCTGGTAGCTTCTATGGTTTACAAATTTGACACTGGTTGTGCAACTTACAAAGTAGATTGCGTGGCTACAAATGAACTAGTGCTGAATTTCACGCAAGCTGGCGGTTCACTCTTATTTCAAGGGCTGGTTCAGAGAAATCAGAGTGCTGATTCATGCACACGTAGGTTCAATCGACGTGGCAGATATTGGATACCTAATTCATATATGCTATACCAATTTTCACTTTGAAAAATTCGCAACCTAACACCGATTATCATTCCAGAGTGCTAACTGACGATCCAGTCGTAATAGATCCATCATTTGACAAAGAATTCTCCAACGACGGGTCAGACGCGGCTGTTGTTATAGTAACATCAGTTCCGCATCCAGATTTATAAATTAGTTGAGCAGCTACGGGATAATACTACTGTTAAGTGTTAATTGAGTTGTGTTTTAGGCCTGCTGTATATTCTTTATCCATTAACCATTTCATATACAATTTTGACTGGGATCTATTATATTAATTATTATCATCACGAGCATCCCTAAATTTAATTGTTTAAAGCTATTTGTAAACTAGTAAAATCTTTATCGAATTATTAAGTTTTATACCGTAAGTTTATACTGTTATACGTTCTATGATTTTATACTGTTTCCAAAAAATGTGTATCATAGGGAATTTTCTTTTATTTTGTATTTAACAATTTTATATTCTTTTTATATATTACATGTTATAAAGGATTTATATTTTGATATTACTTATTCTTGGTCGCAGAATGGTTTTTATAACAAAACAATCGCGTTTTCATGTCTCATTGTAAATTTAAATCAAAAGAAATAAAACTGCGAAATTTAGATTTTCAAATTCATTGTTCAGTTATCATTAACAATTATAGAAAACATTATATGTCGCATAACATTGCAAAAGTTTCAGACTTCAGATCTAAAAGTTTAAGGGAATGTCAATGAATTGGCAGACTCGTGCCCATCAGAAGTATGCTAGGTATTTAATTTACTACCAGATAAATTCCAGAATATTCGGTAAAGGAAAATGGAAACTATTTAAATCATAAATGAATTCTGAAAAACAGCGAGGCATACTAGCTTAGGTGATAACTTATCAACAATACACTAAAAAATTCCAGAATCTTCGATGAATGCTGAAGTTTTGATGAAAATCACGAAGTGATCATAAACATATGATGCATGAATACAGCGTATCAAAGTGTTAAAATCAAGTCAACAAATGAAGTAAACTAAAACAAGTTTATAAGTTACATAAAATAAGTTCTATATTATTCCGTATCCGATGTAGATAAATACCAGCATGATTAATTAAGAAATAGAATTTAATTTGATAAAACAGAACAGTTTAAAGTTCAAACGGTCTGAGTAAAGATTTTAAGCTGTTCCAGGTCGTATAACACGTGACCGAGTTGTAGGGTAGGGTCCAACTTTTCGCTGCACCTTTCGAACTCTGAAACAGTAGATATAAGTCATGATTAAACAGCTAATTTACATAGTTTGGTATTGGAGAGTAGAGACATAGTGAATAACGAAATGAAACGACGCTGTAATTCAATTTTTTAAAGCTATATATCTATGTATATATACTAACAGAGATTATGGTTCCAATACCATAAATTACGTGTTTGTTGGTTAATATGTTCGCTATTGTGCGAAACAATACCAATTATGAGCATAATATGATGAATTTTCTCCGTTAACAAGCAGACCGTGACTTCAGAGCAACAGCAAATATGCAACTGCCCGCTTGCAATTCCAAAGTTCCCGCTTCTTTTAGAAGTTTTTGTTTTGTTAACCTCATTACCCATTTAGCGATCGATCCAGTCAATTTGATTAGGGAACTTCAATCTGTTTGCCATCGATTGTTTATTCAAGAGAGGCACTGTACGGTGTTTTCTTTACATCTTAATGCCTTGCATGCTATTAAACAAACAACTCAAAAGGTGAAAATTGAACCTATTAATAGGGACAGTGGGACACGTCATTTGATCAGCTCACATTTCCTATATTCGATCAGAACTACCAGAACTATCTGAGCCACAATGCTAATCACGTGACTACTCCTCATCACATGACTACTCCTCATCACGTGACTACTCCTCATCACATGACTACTCCTCATCACGTGACTACTCCTCATCACATGACTACTCCTCATCACGTGACTACTCCTCATCACGTGACTACTCCTCATCACGTGACTACGCCTCATCACGTGACTACTCCTCATCACGTGACTACTCCTCATCACGTGACTACTCCTCATCACGTGACTACTCCTCATCACGTGACTACTCCTCATCACGTGACTACTCCTCATCACGTGACTACTCCTCATCTCGTGACTACTCCTCATCACGTGACTACTCCTCATCACGTGACTACTCCTCATCACGTGACTACTCCTCATCACGTGACTACTCCTCATCACGTGACTACTCCTAATCACGTGACTACTCCTAATCACGTGACTACTCCTCATCACGTGACTACTCCTCATCACGTGACTACTCCTAATCACGTGACTACTCCTCATCACGTGACTACTCCTCATCACGTGACTACTCCTCATCACGTGACTACTCCTAATCACGTGACTACTCCTCATCACGTGACTACTCCTCATCACGTGACTACTCCTCATCACGTGACTACTCCTCATCACGTGACTACTCCTCATCACGTGACTACTCCTCATCACGTGACTACGCCTCATCACGTGACTACTCCTCATCACGTGACTACTCCTCATCACGTGACTACTCCTCATCACGTGACTACTCCTCATCACGTGACTACTCCTCATCTCGTGACTACTCCTAATCACGTGACTACTCCTCATCACGTGACTACTCCTCATCACGTGACTACGCCTCATCACGTGACTACTCCTCATCACGTGACTACTCCTCATCACGTGACTACTCCTCATCACGTGACTACTCCTCATCACGTGACTACTCCTCATCTCGTGACTACTCCTCATCACGTGACTACTCCTCATCACGTGACTACTCCTCATCACGTGACTACTCCTCATCACGTGACTACTCCTCATCACGTGACTACTCCTCATCACGTGACTACTCCTCATCACGTGACTACTCCTCATCACGTGACTACTCCTCATCACGTGACTACTCCTCATCACGTGACTACTCCTCATCACGTGACTACTCCTCATCACGTGACTACTCCTCATCACGTGACTACTCCTCATCACGTGACTACTCCTCATCACGTGACTACTCCTCATCACGTGACTACTCCTCATCACGTGACTACTCCTCATCACGTGACTACTCCTCATCACGTGACTACTCCTCATCACGTGACTACTCCTCATCACGTGACTACTCCTCATCACGTGACTACTCCTCATCACGTGACTACTCCTCATCACGTGACTACTCCTCATCACGTGACTACTCCTCATCACGTGACTACTCCTCATCACGTGACTACTCCTCATCACGTGACTACTCCTCATCACGTGACTACTCCTCATCACGTGACTACTCCTCATCACGTGACTACTCCTCATCACGTGACTACTCCTCATCACGTGACTACTCCTCATCACGTGACTACTCCTCATCACGTGACTACTCCTCATCACGTGACTACTCCTCATCACGTGACTACTCCTCATCACGTGACTACTCCTCATCACGTGACTACTCCTCATCACGTGACTACTCCTCATCACGTGACTACTCCTCATCACGTGACTACTCCTCATCACGTGACTACTCCTCATCACGTGACTACTCCTCATCACGTGACTACTCCTCATCACGTGACTACTCCTCATCACGTGACTACTCCTCATCACGTGACTACTCCTCATCACGTGACTACTCCTCATCACGTGACTACTCCTCATCACGTGACTACTCCTCATCACGTGACTACTCCTCATCACGTGACTACTCCTCATCACGTGACTACTCCTCATCACGTGACTACTCCTCATCACGTGACTACTCCTCATCACGTGACTACTCCTCATCACGTGACTACGCCACAATGCTGAAACCCCTTCTTCTGGCCTCTAATAGATCATAATACATGGAAATTGGCTGCTGAGCTGTAAACTCATAGTCTTAAGAACTTGTAGTTTACTCTTGAATTAAAACTAACCGTCCAGCTGTTTCTCCAGGGCGCTGATGTGAGCTTCTAATAAGTCTTGACTATCAGCTATCTCTTGTGCTAAACTGTCCTGAAACTGTTGTTGAACATTACAACTCCGTAGGGAAACATTAGAATTTAACTTGAATGCAATATCAGTTAAATCGTTAAAAGTGAGAATCATTGCATTCATGATCCGATAATAAGTGTTACAAATAAGGTTGCTCCACACTCCACATCTGCATCTGTATTGACGGGAATATTTACTATAAAAGCTAACGGTTGTGCTTGCCAGCACTGTGATTGTAAAACAATATAATATGTGAAGAATTCGTAAGTGGCACGACTCCGCTTGTTGGATTGTCCTTTTAAAAACGATGTCTGTCGTTTGGGTTGCCTTCTGCCTGGTACCTAAGTAAATTACAGCGATTTCACTGTTCGTTTAAATCTTGGTTTTGTCAAAACGATTTCACGGTCAATATGTCGCGCGTAGATGCTAACATCGGACAGTTGTAAAACAGCGAGCTGGCGAGCACTTAAAATTGGCTACCTATTTTTGTTTTAAAGCTCTTGTAATTGTATATTCGAAATAATAGGAAATAAATAAAATGTATAGAAAATAAAGTCACGCGCATTATCTTCTTAATAAGAAATTTGATACTAAAAGTAAGATTCGTACGGTGCTTTATCTTCCTTAGAAAAAATTTGATACAAAAAGTTTTTCTTCCGCAGTTTATTTCAGGATAGTATAGTTAGTTCGTTTCCTCCAAAACCTCGTAAAGTGACCCTGCAGACTGCAGAGCTATGATGTGGACAAATAATACGACTACCACAAACCTGCCCCCCAGTACTTCACTTATAGACGGCCAAACGTGGGGCTTTCAGTATATATCCCCACTCAATATCACGATAGCTGTTTATATCATGATCCAGAATTCCATGATCATATATGATTACCACAAGGACTGGAGAAGGATTTCTTCCCTATTCTTCATTCTGGTCGGTGCTGTGGATATTGGAAGTGCGTGTTTAGAGATAGGACGAGGCTCAATATCACTACTGTGCTTGAAGGACCCTTCTATGAGGATGCATCCTTGGACATTTCTGGTCTGCCAAAAGTTTGGTGTACTCTGCTACGTTACTTCTATGTTTTGTGTTCTTGTGCTAACGGTTGTGAAGACTATCAACATAATGCGTCCATTTTACAGGCAGAATAACCGACTTTTGAAGATAGTCCTCTTCATTTACCCGTCCGTTCTCATGGTCGTGTGCATTATTGATGTTTGGGTATGGAATGATCTCATAACTACAGATAATGATAGCCCAAAATGTGGTGCTGCTGCGGGTCTGCTGTGGAACATCATCACTTTCTTAGAAACAATTGGAGATGGCACAATACGTCTTGTATTAAGGTTGATGATGCGTTACTTTGCATTATCTGATGGCGCAGCAACACATATGATGACTATCATGGACATAGTTGTGCCTTTAGTTCAGTTTGGTCTGCCTTGCTTGATCGTGCTTGTATGCATGGTTCTTCAGATGATATATATAAAGAAAGCCTTTCGTGGTCACGAAAACTTACTGCTGAACACTGCAAACCAAATTAACTTAACAGTGTTTCTAATCTCATTACTGTACTTGTGTAGCGTCTCTTTGTACTGTATTATGACATACCCCTTGTGGGAATATATAATTACCCCCACACAGACATCTGCCATCTATGCATTGTTACGATTCACACCTCCTCTGATGAACGCAGCACTGTTCCCAACCATCCTGATCCTGCGTAAACCGGAAATGAGAGCACGGTACAGAAACTACATAGCAAAAGTTCTCCTTCTACCACTCACCATCTATGGAAAAGTTCGTCATCTGGCTCAAAGAAGACGAGGATATACAGAGATCTGATCAGAACTACATACGTACTCGGCAAAGTTTGTTATCTGGCTCAAAGAAGACTAGGATATACAGAGTATAAAAAGCCTGGTGCAAATTTGATTAACATTTTTTTAAAGAAAAAATATGTTAAGGAAAATAAATAGGTATTGATTTATGATTTAGATGATCATTGACAAAAATTAAATTCGTTCGATTGATATTCATTTCTATTCTGTGAATTAAATAATACGAACAAGACAATATAGCCGTAAAAGAGGAGATTTGTTATATCTTTATAATTAACCGTCTAAATTGGTATTTTTACTTTATCGTTTGACCGTCGCGTCATATGTTTCTATATGAAATTTGTTTCTTACTGTCACCAAGATGTAACTAGGTCGAACAGAAAAATTAGGTCTCACGCAGGAATTAGGTCTCAAGCAGGCGCGGCTTTTAAGTTTATTTATATGTGTATCACGCGCCTGCGTGAGACCTAATTCTTGCGTGAGCCATAATTTCTCCGTTCTTTCTAGTTACATCTTGGTGACAGATCACTTTTTGACAATTTTGTTTGACATATCCCGATCCTTACATGGCATACCAAATAAATATATAAATACCAGTTGCAGTTACATAATTGTATTATTTAGCGTGTGTTAGTGTACTCCTCATGATATTTATTTAATTTTTTCCCTTAAAAATAAATTGCAGCTCGTCATAGCTATATAGGGTAAATTAACTAATTTTAGACAAATTTAAAATTTGGAAAAATAACAGGTGAAAAAAAGTTCCGCTTTTATTCACCTGTTTAGCAGCGAGGGATGATATAGGGTTATTAGCAGCGGCGAGGAGTTGCGAGATGTCGGCTCTCTGAAGACGAGGACTGACAGGACGTGAGCGGGAAGTAAGTCTGTTACCAGGGAGATGGGGCGAGGAGGACCGGCTGTTCGACAAGTACGTCGGCTGAAACATGTTAATCTTAACCGGGGATAAGAAACTAAGCAGGTATTCTCAGGAGGGTTAAGTTGTGGAGGAGAAAAGGGTATTTAGTAAATTACCGTGGCAGGCTCAGACTTGGTGTGGTGTCGAGGACTGCTGCCCGGTTGAGGGGAGGGTCGCGGTAAGGGAGTTTGGACTCTGGGTGATGTGGTGCTTCGCTGTCGAATCTGGCCAGGCCTTGGAGCCAAGTTAGCACTGAGTGAGAATAGATATTAGATTATGTAAGAAATGTTAGGTAGGTTTTGAGATACTCCATTATAAACTGTATTACAAAACAAATGCCTTATAATAACAGATAATTTAAACTGCTGCTGACACTGACCTATCGATGGAGGGAGGAGCAGGGCGCACGCCAGGCATCCTGGCTCTGGTGACGGTAGTGTTACTACCGGGTAATCTAGGGTGGCTCATACGGGGACTTCCTAGAGAGTTTATTCCAGATGGCCGTATTCCTGAGGGGAGTGTCAAATATCAAATGAGATACTTTTAAAACGTACCACCGTACCACGAAAGTTAAGCAAATAAGGGAATTGAAAACAGCAGTTTATCTGCTTATTAAGCATGGCGAATAATTGGATAGTTTATCCTCGAGAAATTTACCAGCGTTAGGTTGTCTTGTGGCAGGAGAATGAGGCATACGAGCCGGAGGGTATATAGCAAGAGAGCTAGCTGAGCGGGGACCAGAAGCTCGTGGTGGAGTGAGTGTTCCGCGGGGTGACGCGTAGCGGGCACTCGCAGCACGAGGATTACCTCGGAGAGTCGTTCCTCGGACAACATGTGGCACACCTGTGGGGTGTTATTTAGCACACATGTGGGGTGTTATTTAGCACACCTTGTATTTATCAGACCTTGTATTTAGCAGACCTTATATCATATTAGAAAGAAAGAAAAGAACATTCAGCCTTATGGTAAAAGACAGAGAGATGACGATAACAGCTGGTTAGCTGGTAAAGATTTAACATGGACATTATATAAACAGGGTGACCTAGAATATTCCCAACTTGCAGCTGCAAACATAACGCTATATCTGGGACACTCAATTAAGTGTGGAATGTTAACCACTAATTACTCCACAAAACCCAGTTTCTATGTACCTTGTCTATGAGAACTGCCAGGTGAACTTGTCTGAACTCCTCTGAAGGAAGGTCGTATGGAGAGTGGCCTGAGCTGTCCTCTCATGGCAGCCGGCCTGAAGTTAGGGTTCTGTTGTCGGAGCTGTGCTAGGGACATTACTAGTGGGGGCCTGGATACCGTGTACACTGTTTTACCTGTAAAGACAGCTCGTATCATTTTGATTTGAGGTATAGAATGTACTCTTGAGGTCAATTCGTGCTCATTATTTCAAAGCTAAATGTTTGAGCTTTGTAAGCAGTGAACATAACTGGAAGAAGTTAAACATAATTCCCATTCTCACCCCCGATTGTGGTGGTAGTGGATGTTTTAGCTGTGCCAGGCGACAGAACATATACTAACGAAGCATTGCTCGTTTTAGGATCTCCAGTATTAGACTGGGTCGAACTGAAAATGTTGAACACATTAATATCCAGTGGTTTAATTTACTAAGTGTCAAACATCAGGGACAAAAAAATTAAGATCAGTAATAAGTAATAAGTATTCAGTCGAATGTAAATTCTTTAAAATATATGAAATTTTGAATGAGTGTCTGTTTAGCTATTGCCACAATAAATGCCTGGTGATACGTCTGACCTGAACAAATGGGTTACAACAGTTTCTTGTCCAACCCAAGAGCCCAGCGACTTTATAATTCACCTCCGCCTAGAACAAGCTTATATAATCACAGTAAAACAAATTCAATTCAATGATGTTATTTGAAGAAGAATATGGTTACGTTCCGGGTCTGGCTTATATTTATGTTATCTACAAAACTTACTTAGGAAGAAGAACAGAGCCTCCTCCAGGGATAACCACGAGCGTGCCTTCCATCTTCCTTCCATTAGTGGGCCACACTCCATCCTTCTTGTCTTGGAGGCGTCTTGCTTCGCTCCTGAAAGGTAAACAAATGTTTGCAACCTGTAAATTCAAAGAAACAGTAGCCCGCTACTTTTAATCCGCATGGTTTCTCTTTCGCCTTTGTCGTCACAAGGTGCGCTGCGCCGACAGCCACATCCAATAAAATCAACCGTAGATACATCGCGCGCGCCGCATGCGCGCGAAAGTTCGCTGAAAGCAAAGCTGTCTGTAACACGATATTGCCTTCGCGCGTGACGTTCAAAGTGTGCCGTAGACCCTATCCATTCCACACTTTAGATTACAAACATTGCAGAAAACCAAGTTAATGCAGCCGGACCTAAAATTTACAGTACCTTTCGAGCGCATCAAGTTTTAGCCGTGTAGCAGTTATTCCTTTCGATACTTTATGGTATTGATCCGTCATATCGTGCAGTTGTAACATGGGCTCATTTGGCTTCTCGCTATCGTTCGGGATCATTCTTGGTAAATTGCCATCCTCATACCTGAAAAGGATGTAAAATAGACTGGTTTCTACTATAATGGAGAATAAGCAAGAGCAGAGCAGTTTTACCTATAATTCCTGACCCTTATAAAGTATTAGAGGAGCCAGGAGCCACATACAAAAAGATTAGGGCGGGCGCTTTTCAAATAGTCTTTAGCTTCCACAAAAGGAATGTCTAATATCACACAGACTTGTTGGAAAACTATATAAAACAAAGTCCATTCCAAGATAATTGACGTTACCAATCGTGTAGTTGTTTGACGATAGCGTAGCAGTACGGGCAGATATATTGGCTGGGAATGTTAGAGTTGTTGACACCAATACAGATAGCGTGGAGCCACTGAGAACACTCGTCACACTGTATCATTAGTCTGTCTTCATGTGGGGAGTCACAGGTGCAGCGAACTGTTATCCTGAGACGGTCATTAACGGTAATTAACGGTAATTGTGGGGTAATTGGAGGTGATTAGCGGTATTTGTTGTTAAGGTGATCATTGGAATATGTGTCATGCAGGATGATTATAATTTAATGAGTTGAGGTCAACTGATTTGTTAGTCACAAGCATGGAATTTGGAGGAGAACTTTCCAGAATTATAGAATTAGTTACATAAATATTTCTTACTTGATGTCCTCCCTTTCATCTGATTCCTCGTCAGCTACATTTTCTGAAATCAAATGTAAGTTCAATTTCTGTCTAGCGTACAAGGCAGTGGTTATGAAATAATCCTTTATATTATTAAACAATTCAACATCATGAGACATCTATTACTATTCTTTAAACACACTACATTTAACAAAACACACATAAATATAATGAACATCGGAATAAACAAACAATTGTATAACCAACAATATTAACATAGTTCAACTAAGTTAAAGTAAGCTCAAGTAAGTTCAAGTAAGTTTAAGTAAGTTAAAGTACTGATATCTGGATATTATCCGGTTGGAAGAGACAAGGACAAGTGAAACAAGGAAGTTAGGAGTAAGGGCAAATTTTCGGCGTCAACGCCATCTTCAGGCTCAAATTATTTGTTATATAGTAGTGTTGAAAGTATTAACATTTTTTTTAATACTTTCAACACTACTATATAACAAATAATTTGAGCCTGAAGATGGCGTTGACGCCGAAAATTTGCCCTTACTCCTAACTTCCTTGTTTCACTTGTCCTTGTCTCTTCCAACCGGATAATATCCAGATATCAGTATTTCAATCATGAGACTAATAAACAGCGAACTACTCCGTTATTTGATAAGTTAAAGTAAGTTAAAGTAAGTTAAAGTAAGTTTAAGTAAGTTAAAGTAAGTTAAAGTAAGTTAAAGTAAGTTTAAGTAAGTTTAAGTAAGTTTAAGTAAGTTTAAGTAAGTTTAAGTAAGTTTAAGTAAGTTTAAGTAAGTTTAAGTAAGTTTAAGTAAGCTTTACCTTTGCCCTCGTGATAGTGTTTTAGATGAGTTTCTAAACGGCTTTGTTTTGGAAATCCCTTCTTACAAATGTTGCATTTGAACTCCAAGTGGTCATCCAGCGGTTCTATCGCTTTAGTGGCTTTAGGTTCTCCGTAATAGTAGTACTGTTCTGTAATTTAGTTGCTATTATATAAACTGGGGATATTTTGTAATATAATAATATTATAAAATATTCTGTTATACAAAGTAGCACAATAAAATCAATACTCAGGAATAAAATAAAATAAAATAATCAGGAATAAAAATGAAATGATATGCTTGTATACCGCCCATGTGGTTAGCAACTGACACAAGTGTCAGGTACTAACCATGTCAGAGCGGTTCTAAAGGGTGAGGTGAAAAATATCCAGCAACAAACAACTAGATCATCTCAAAAAACAAATCTATTCAGAAAATATCACTTTAATTATATCATATTATAGTAATCATAAGAAGTTTTATTGATATATCATATATACCACACTATGATTAACAATAAACTGTAAAATTAATAAAAAAAATTCGATTCATAAACAATAATGCATTCATAGACAAAACAAAGCACAACAAGAATTTCGCCGCGGTTAAACCACGCACGATCAATTTTCCCTACGATGTACTTGTATCTTGTAGTTGTACCATTAATTCTTTCGAGTGAAAAGTGTGACCGGAAAAAGTGCAACATATTTACATACTATGTTTTTAATAAATGAGTGGGATTCACGCATGGTAAAAATTGACGATTTATTTGACCAATGTAGCGCCGCGCGCATCAACAATAAATGAATCCAGAAAATTGCGGAAAATAACTTTGCGAAGGAGGAACTTCACTGTAATTAATTAACACATGGCTAGCGTCGCGCGCAGCATAACAAACGCTTCCAATACAAATAATTATAGGGGAATGGTCTATACTGCGAAGGAGCAGACTTTTGTCGTCAACGTAGGACCGTCGGGCCACCTCATATATCCAAACCCGATTACTTATTCCCTACGATCTTTTTGCCTTCGGCAAGAATAGGGAAAAAATAAAAGTAATATCTTATCTGGAGAAATATATAAAATATACATACTTCGACTGCGGTGATCGTCGTCAATATTAGCTGCACTGAAAGGTTCGCTGGAGCTTCGTGCACGCTTAGATGCGCGCGTCTCTGATATAACAGACCTCGCTAACAGCAGCCGGGGCTCTATTATCTTCTTCCGATCGTCTGATAAAACACTATCTTTACAATAATTAAAGTTGGGTTGTTAAAAAGTGAAAAAGCGAACAACAACTATACTTGAGTAGATTGGTCAAAGTAGATTTGTCAGAAAATAGTTAAGTATATAATAACTTTTACATTTATTAACAAACACTGTGGGAAACATTCAACAAAATCTTAAATTAACGAGTCAGCGAACATGCTCAACATAATAAGCATATAAATTACCCGAATCGCCAGATTTCCGTCGTTCGTCACCCTCGGGAGATATAGTGGACTTAGATCTGGGTCTTCCTATCTTACCTCGCCGCTTATCTGAAACTTAAGATTAGAAATATAGTTGCTCCTTTATATAATGCATGACGATTTAAAAACGTGACAAGTAAAAATTATGTGTAGTCACAACTTAAGAATAAGATCTAAAAAATCTATATAAAGTGAAATGAAGTAAATCATGTAACCAACCAAACGGAGAGTCGAGTCCAACGATATCTTTCAAACAATCTTTTCCCTTTCCCTCTAAACTGAGCTCCCCGACGAGCGGAGTAGTAAGATCACTGTCCGCCTGCATGGGGGGTCTGGTAACCTGCTCCTGATCCTCCAGGCTCACATTCTGCTCCACCTTTGTCTCCGTCTCGTCTACCTCCATGTTGAACAGATCAGCCTCGTCAAAGTTAATGTCGAATGAGGTGGGGATACTGAGGTGACGAGATGTTACGTCCTTGAATGGAGAGATGATTTCTGCTGAGGCTGAGGTGAAGACCGGTTCGAAGGGGTTCTCCAAGTTTTCCGTTTTAGGGACAACTTTTTCGGGAGTTTTGTCCTTGAGGTCGAGAGATTTGGGTGGTTGAGGTGGTCGAGGTGGTTGAAGTTGGGGTGGTTTTGGAGGATCAGCTTGAGGAGCCTTCATACTTGGCGTGTGACGAGGTGAATTCTTGAGGTTCTCTGAGCTTCTCTTTGATTTGGGATTTTTCCCCAACAAAGCGAAAGTTTGAACCTTGATTTTCCGGGTGTTATATCCACCGTCTGGAGTAGTAGGTACTGATTTGGAAAGCCTCGGAACCTCTGTGCTCCCCGACTGTAGCTTGATTTGCAACGGTACAGACTTTGATGAAGTCAAAGAAGTATGATCGTTTGATTTAGATGATGGTCGACTATGTTCCAATGGTGGCTGTATCGCTTGCACCGGAACGTTTGTTTTGGGCGGGGGCGCTTCAATTGGTTCCTCTTTGATGTAAGTCTTAGGTTCGACAAACAGCGGAGGGTTGGAGATTGATGATTTCTGAACGGAAGTAGTTGGGATGGGTGGATCTTCTGTTGATGAAGTGGAAGATTTTGGGGATTTGGTATTAGGTCTAGGAGATTTCGAGCTAGCAGGTTTTGGTGACACAGCTTCTTTTTTGGTTGTAAGATCAGCTGGTACAGGCGATGTTCTACAATACGGAGACATCCTCGGATCTTTATTCTGTATGTTAAATAATGCATCACGTGACCGAGGCGACAAACTGGCAATGAAATTAGGAGAATTCCTGCCGTACTGAATCAACTGCTGCCAGTTTGTAGGACTAGGAGACTGACTCATCCTGCGCTGGATAAGAGGATTCTCAATCCCTACCGAGCCACCTGGAGATTTGTGTGCAGCCGTCTCTGACTGAACCGTCCTTGGAGGGGTACGATTAGCCGCTTGTCTGGCTTGCCTCTCCAAAACATACTGCTTCAACTTCTGCTTCAAAGGTGATGTGGGGACCACTTTGTTGAGGGCAGGCGGAGAAGCACGTCGGTTGCTAGGATTTGTACCATGGATATCACTGATGGGGGTACGTGGTTTACGTTGTTGGGAGGGAGTTTGAGATGAGCTGCTACTGCTGCTGGAGGTGCTAGTTACGGGAGGCGGTTTTGTTGCCAGAGTTTCGATCGAGGGTAGCACTGTTATGGTATTCGGTTTAACTGGAATGGTGCCAGGAACTGAAACTGTTATTTTGGGAGGGATGGTTGATTCTCCACTTTCGAGCAGCTTGGCAGATGCTCGGCGTTCTCGGAGAGATTTTCTCACACCCTCAGCAGTTATGATGGATGTTGGTGGAAATGAAGCAGGGTCAGGTTGCTTAACTTTTGGTTCTTCCTTGACCGTATTTTCATCTTTCGGTTCTGGTTTTACTGGTTCAGTTTTCTGATCCATCAAATCGTCTGGAATTGCAGAGTTTGATCCACCATCAAGATAATTTGCAAGGTCTGAAATATCAAAGTTACCATCGAAATTAGTGTCATCTGCCATCCACAGATCATCTGAAGTCAGGTGATCTTGAATTGCCTGCACTTATAGAATCATCAGGTTTAAGATCAGGAGCTTGACCGGAAACAGGTACAGGTTTAGGTGACATAATGGGAGTTGGCTGAACGATTTGACCACCCTTTTCCTCAGTATTAGGTACAGGTGCAGGAACACTAACAGGTTTAAACATTGCAGGATTGTTACCAGGATGAGGGTAGGTTCCCATGGGTTGGGGGTACCTGTAAATCTGCTGCTGCATGTCATAACCGGGTGGTAAACGGGCAGGGTTGGACACTTTCTGTATCTGTGCTGGGGTGACTGGGTTAAAGTGAGGTTTAGCTATGATTTGTTGAGGTGCCGCTCCCTGACTGGGGCTTGGAGCTGATGTTTTCTTTGAAACTGCAGAGCCCGGGCTACCTGGCTGTGAACCTTTAGGTGAAGCTAATTTAGGAGCCCTGGGGACAGTTGATTTAAAAGAACCATGAACAGGATAACTTTCTATCATGGGACCCTGACCCTTGTTTTTGTCCAGCTTCATCACAGAAAGGTATGCCTGTGGTTGCTGACCGTCAGATTTTTCACATTTAGCTGGGCTCCCTGCTGCTGCGACTTCGTCTGATTCCAACATGCCCCTAAATGAAGCAGGTGCAACAGGTTCAGGTGTTTTATATCTTACTGGAGCCGCCTGCCCTGGAACCTTCTGACCGGTAGCTTTCTGCTGTTGTGTCAAATGATGGTGCCGCAAGAGAGAAGCAGTGTTCGCGTCGATGGCTTGATTATGAAGTCTCATCTTGGAGGGCGATTGTGGAGCACTTCTGTTCGTGTGAGAAGATTTCCGACCGCGCTGCTTATGCTGGGGGTGCATCATGTGCTGCTGGAAAAGGTGGTGTCTGTTCTGCGCGTGGTACTGCTGCGCTATCATGTTCATCTGATGGATAGGGTTGGTAATCTTAGTGTTCTGCATGTTGGGGTAGAAGGGATAGTTGACGTAGTAAGGGGGAGGGATCTGGTGGGGTAGGTGGTGGGTGGGGGTTGAGTGAGCGCTGCTGCTCTCTTCTCCTGCTGAACTCTCACTTTCCTCCGACAGGTCGCTCTCTTTTGATTTGGTTGTCTCTGTCGTCTGAAGTGGGTAAGACAGGTTAGCACAGGTGACAGGATGAGATGCAACGCAGATAATAGCTATAATCTCTATGTTGCAGTAAATGCAATTGGTTTTTAGGGGTACCGCGACAATTGACCCCCCGACAATTGACCCCCCGACAATTGACCCCCCGACAATTGACCCCCCGACAATTGACCCCCTATGTAATTACACTGGGGTCAATTATCGCGAAATCTAGGGTTTAGTACGACAATTGACCCCCCGACAATTGACCCCCCCGACAATTAACCCCCCGACAATTGACCCCCCGACAATTGACCCTCTATGTAATTACACTGGGGTCAATTGTCGCGAAATCTAGGGCTTAGTACGACAATTGACCCCCCGACAATTGACCCTCCGACAATTGACCCCCCGACAATTTTAATTAAACTGGGGTAAATTAATCGGGTTAGGGTTAGGGTTAGGGTTAGGGTTAGGTTTAGGGTTAGGGTTAGGGTTAGGGTTAGGGTTAGGGTTAGGGTTAGGGTTGGGGTTAGGGTCAGGGACAGCTGTTCCTGGGTCAGGGTCCTGGGTCAGGGTCAGGGTCGGGGTCCTGGGTCAGGGTCAGGGTCAGGGTCAGGGTCAGGGTCAGGGTCAGGGTCAGGGTCAGGGTCAGGGTCAGGGTCAGGGTCAGGGTCAGGGGTATTCAATTATATTTTTGGGGGTCAATTGTCGGGGGGTCAATTGTCGGGGGGTCAATTGTCGGGGGGTCAATTGTCGGGGGGTCAATTGTCGGGGGTCAATTGTCGGGGGGTTAATTGTCGGGGGGTCAATTGTCGGGGGGTCAATTGTCGGGGGGTCAATTGTCGGGGGGTCAATTGTCGGGGGGTCAATTGTCGCCCACCCGTTTTTAGGAGCTTCAGAAAGAAGAAATTATTAGTTTTAGATTATTTTTACCTTTTTGGATGCTTTGGTAGTGAGTGAAACTGGGAAATCGTAGATATCATAACTGATCTTTTTCAAAGCTTCAGCTTGATTTCCACTCTTTTTAACAATCTTCCGAACTTGTTTTGGTTCTTCAGGACCCCTTTTCTGCGATTTTCTACCCGAACCCTGAAAAATCACACGTTTATGATTAAGTTTCGTAGTAGCAGAAAGAATGGCTGCTACTTTATCACAGTTAATAGTATAGCAGCCTCGGCGCTAGTGAAACAGAATGGAATCTCGGCTGACATGACTATCTATAAAGAATTAGAATATAAATATTAAATGGTTACTATAAATGTTTGGCTAACTTACGTCAGAAGAGCCTTCTCTTCTGTTTCTCTTCTGTTTCCCTGAGTCCGTTTTGGCAATTTCTAGTTTTCTAGGCGGGGTTTGCGCTCCTCCACTGCTGGTAAAATATAAGGTTAATGCCAATAAACTTACGGTTATCCTACTAGACACCGTGGCTTAAGAAGCAGAAATTTTATTGGATTCTTGAAAGCATAAAAGGTAATTTTTCGTCGCGACAAGACGTATCAATTTGACTAAGTAGCAGCTATTTAAAATCTAATCAAGATATTACAATTATTTCATCATCACATTCATATTTGGGGTGATATCGATAAAACACCAGAACTAAAACCCGTAGCTCCCTCTACCCTAGCTATAACTGGAAACTAATGAAATGCCCGGTATGCCCGGTATTTACCTGCCAGTACCGGCTGTTACGGGACCAGTAGCATTGGTCACGTGGTGAGGTATAGGACTGTTCGCTGGATGCGAGGGAGACGGGGAGATGTGACTGGAGGGATGAGAGGGAGAAGCAGACATGTGACTGGACGGAGATTGAGACATGTGACTGGAAGGTGACGGACTTGAGCTCGGCTCACTTGCAGCCTGAAAATACTGCTGTCACGTGAACATTCCTGACTGGATGGGTTAAAATCTGGGAGGGAGCTGAAGAGACCAACATAGAGAGGCAAGATCTCTTACAGTTCCGATAATTAGTTAAATAATATTGGAACATCATGCAATTGAACCACGCAACAGTTAAATAATTAAAATTTATTTTTGTAATAAAATGAAAACCTTAGTTTTCCTAGACTGCGGAATTTGCTGTGGTATTGCTCGCTGTTGGAACTCCAAAGGAAACCCCTGAGGCTGACCAGGATGACTGGCAATAGGATGGCTAGATATAGCAACCCCTGGATGGCTAGATATAGCAACCCCAGGACTCTGCATGGCAGGAGACACAATAGTAGGGGAGGGATGATGTTGCTGTGATGACGTCACGAATTGCTGTGACGTCACGTATATGCCAGCAGTGTGATGGGGAGACATGGCGGGAGAGTAGGAGCTAGCAACTGCGTACTGACCTGGCATTCCCCACGCGTTTGTGTGGGACGTCGTCTGGGGGAGGTTGGTGTTAAAATGGACTCGGGAACTATAACAGTGTTTCTAATAGTGTTTCTAAGTGTCTGTAATAGTGTCTCGAATGGTATATTTCCAAGAAATCCCTGGCACATTACAAAATTCTACGGTTTTGATGTAACCAGAATCTAGACTAACAGTGATATTACTTCCCTTCCGTAGACCATTCTCATTGTTCTCTAATGTCAGAATTAGTTGTTGAGTGGTTCACTACATAGACATCAGTAATTTTAATTCAAGAGTAAACTATCATGACATCTGAACTTTTAAATGTTGATTCGTTATCTACAAAACCCGCCGTCTTCCACAAACCACACACATTAATAGATCAAATTCTTGTCTACATTTAATTCAGATCTGCAAGTTAATCCCAAGGTCACACGCTGGTGTAAGTTTTAAAATATTCGGTTGTATCACTGGTTAAATTTTAGAAGGGGTTTTTCTGATACCACACCAACCAAATGATACACCGCGCTATTACCCAAAACTCACACTTGGAATGGTTTCTGCAAAAAGTTTTGGACCAGAAGTGATTGGAGGTCGTACTACATACTGCTGAGCAGAAGCAATCCCTGCTGAACCTACCTAAAGTGCCTTTAGTAAGTAACGGCAACCCTTGCAATTTGGATAACAATACATGATACAAGATTGTAAAGGAACGTTTTTATTTCATTGATTCTAGATTATGTAATTCTGAATTTTCTATTTGAAAACATTGATTCCTAACTAGATTATGTAATTCTTAATTTTCTATTTACATCTCGTTATAAACGAATACGAACTTTTTCACTAACCGGATAGTACTGAGAGTAGGGAGGCGTCCCAAACATGCCTGGCATGTGCGGCATGTTGCCCGGCATGTGCGGCATGTTGCCCGGCATGTGCGGCATGTAGACCGGACCACTTGGACCCTGCTTTAAACCGGCCATCATGGCTGCCTGGCTGTAACCCGCTGTTTGGTAAACTACCTCCTTCACTCCTTTAGCTGCTATCAGTCTGGGAGAGTGGAATATCAGTCTGGGGAAGGTGAAATATATTGAATATCAGTATGGAGAAGGACTTGGTATGTTTCATTAAATTTAAAGTAAGTCTAGGTTTTACAATTCGGAAACTCGATTCACCAAAACTATCAATCACCATTTTTCATCAAAACTAGTGAACACTGAACATAACATGCTGAGAAAGATACATTGATACTGGTAACTTTTGGTGAACATGGCGAGTATTAGGTACATCAAAATTGGTTACTTTAGTGAACATGGCGAGTAAGATAAATCAAATCTAGTAACTTTTGGTGATCATGGTGAGTACAATGTACATCAAAATTGGTTACTTTAGTGAACATGGCGAGTAAGGTTCATCAAAACTGAGCTCTTGGACCTTGGTACACATTTAATATTTCAATTTGATACTTTGAAAATAAAAAATTAAAATGGTGAAAGATTGTGAAAAATGGTGAATGATTTTTATGGTGAATAGGGTTTCCAAATTGTAAAATTTCACCATTTTTCACCATTGAATTCCCCCCGTTTTATATTCGTCATTCTTTAGACTCGCTATTTATCTCTTTATTATCATATCAACTAACCTAGCTGACTGATCCCTTTGATTTCTCTGAAGTTGACTGATATGATCTGACATCAGATCTGACTTCAGTCCATCGGTTCCAGCTTGCTTTTCACCAACTTTCTGGTCAGTCAATTTGTCTTGTTTCTCACTCGCTATGATTGGGATTTTGGAGTGGTCGAGTTGTTTGTTGTTCCGAGATCCTTTCGAGTTAACAACTGATATCTTGCTGTCAGAATGGTCTCTTTTGTGCCTCTAAAAGAGAAAATATGTAAGGAAAAACCGAATGTACTTTCTCAGCTCTAACATAACGACAAAGAATATGTTTTTGACAATTATGGCATTTTTAAACTGTCAGACTAAAAAGTTGCTTCCAAAAATGACAGACAATCTAACCTGATCAGCACAGCCTGAGTGACCTCTCTTCGTTATCTTAGTGTCGGTTATTGGAACAGGTTCAGGTTCGGTCAGCTCCAACTTGTGCGGCTTCAGTACCGGAGTAGTCGCTATCTGAATAGTGGGGGCCTCCTTCTTGAAATCATGTTTCTCTTTTATGGGAGACGCTTTCTTCGGTACCTCAAACTCGATTACGTCATCAATTATCAGCGTGTGGGAAGATTTTGTGTCAGATTCAGCTTTAGGAGAGTTTTTCTTTGGCATCACCGGTGTCTTCGGACTGCTGTTTTTTGCAGGTTGACTCTCCTTTTTGTTTGGACTTTCCTTCCTAGCTGGGCTTTCTTTCTTAACCGGGCTCCCCTTTTTAGGAGGACTATCTTTTGGCTGGGACGAGGGTTTGGTTTCCGAATCTTTCACCATGTCCTTCAGAGTTATAATTCCCGGGCTGGAATCCCTCCTACTTCGCTCTGAAGAAGAGTTCCTGGATGTTGGCTCACTGGAGGAGTTGCGGTTAAGTCGTGCTGAGAGCCGTTTTGAGCGAGTAGTGGAGACTAGTTCGTCTGAATTCCTGGCTGATAGACGTTTAGCTCGACTACTCACACTTACTACTGCTGAAGTGTCTTCTTCCTTCTCTGGTTCGGGTTCTGGTTCTGGCTCCTGAAATCAGGGATCAGTTTGAAAATAGCTGGATGGTAAGGTTTGAACTGAGTGCGTAAATAACGTCATGCAAAATCTATTCCTTCAAAAAGAATTCAGATCCTTTTAAAATATGCTCCGTGTGCGCCTATTTAAGCACCCCACTCTCTATTTAAACAGGGGTGTTTAGCAAGCAGAAATATAACTTTTGTTGCTACTTAAATTCTACGTGGTCTAACCACGTGGTCTAACACGTGGTCTAACACGTGGTCTAACATACCTCAACTGCTCCCAGTGGGTGACGTATCTGAGAGAATCGGAGCTTCTTTTTGAACCCATCGCTGAACAATACTCGGTAGTATTCTGAAATGAAATTGTATATTTTCATCGCGCTTGCACTTATAGTAGCTTAACATGGGAATGGAAGGAATAATATTAGCTACGATTGGTCGGAATGTGAGTTTGACTGTATGTACTACCCATAAAAGAAGAGTTTTAATGAAATTGTGAGCAGGCCATGAATCAGTAGCAAAAGGAAATGCTCCGGGATTAAACCTGTTCAAAGTAATAAATGTTCTCGTATTACTGATGATGCCCAAGATAGACACCATGCTGCCCGAGAACAAAATGTCAGCCTTAAAGATGCAGAATAACAATATTTAGAAAGAAAGAAAATGTTTCCTTGTGTTTGAAATCTCATACCGTTTCCTTCAGCAGAGAGAATAGTTCCAGGGTAGTAATGCTTATCAATCCATTTGGCCTCAATAGCTTGTCCAACTTTAAACATTACACTCTGTAAAATATAATAATGTTAGTCGACCACATTTTCACTACATTTAATTCGACGGTAAACTGTTACTTTATATTTTTACGAACAATATCTAATCTGTATCAGCTTTAAAGCTAAATAAATGTAAATTAATTCAAACCCCCTTTGCTTGAAACAGCAAAATTTCCCATAAACCACAGAAAGCCAAACATTTCAAACACCCACCTTTAAATTTTGTTCCTCGGGGAGTTTATCAGCATTCTTTTTACTAAGTGCTCTGATACGGGGAGACCTAGAAGGCAGCCATTGATCGTGTCTTTTGTGCCAGTTAAGATAGTGGATGAAGATTCGCCGGCCTTCAACTTTTAATATTCGTGCAACATACCTGAATAGTGGATAAGGGGTATGTTGTGGAGGTATTTGAGGTATGTACTTTAAATTATACATTTTAACTGAGCCAGGGTACAAAATTATAATCATTTGTTCAATAGTGGACTTGTGTAGGAAATTAAGTATATAAAGTGTTTCCGAAATTAAGCTTAAGTGGGCACATAAGCTTTCCAAAGCGCCGTGTGGTAAAAATTTGGTTTTATTTTGTTTAAATAGTGCCGCGCTGAATTCTGAAAGGTCTATTTAAATAATATAGTAATATAGATGTTGTAGAAACAAAGGCACATGTTTTGCACCCTGGTATGATATTCGTTTTAATAAATCTACTTTAGGTTCAAGTTAGAAAACGGAGCTATTGGCATATGATTCAGAATACTCCTTCATAAAAAATACAGTTCACTGTTTAGGGTTACTTACCAGGGACTAGAATCGTCTTCACGTGCTTCAATCAACTCATTTTCTACCAATTGAAGACTTGACTTTGACATATCATCTTCTAAAAAAGAAAGCAAATGTAAATTGGTGCAGTTTAGATCATAGGTCCACAATTATATGAATTAGAGAAAAAGGGGACTGCATGCATGGAGCTGGAGTCAGGAAGAAAATTAAGTGAGTATCTGCGCTAGACCACAATTGTATCAAGAAAGAATTCTGAGCAATTTAGAATAAACCTTTTTATCATGAAACGAAGTTTGTGTTTATAAAAATAAGTCTTGAATGTTTTATACTTGCGTCTGTAAACTGTTTAAACTGTTAAATCTGATATTGGTAAATTTGGTAGACTGTTCTTTAACGTCACCACAGTAAGAATATAATTTGGTATTTAAGAAATATTACATAAGTCAAGTTATGTTATGTGACGTGTACAGTGACAGATCTCCGATAAAAGTTGTCTCAGTATATTCCAGGAAACAAATTGCAAGATCACCAATGCGATCATTAATCCACAACACAGTACTTTCAGTTTACAGTAAAAATATCGTCAACATAACAAATATGACACCGAGTCTATAAGAACTCAAGTGCTATAAAATGCTATAAAATAGGATCTAGTGGTCTGTTGAACCCGCCCCGACGGTTCATATATTGTCTGTACTTTCGTTTCGGTACTTTGTGTGTCCCTGATGCGTTGCAGGATCCATCTACGTGTTTATTCTGCGAAAAGATGATTTTAACTTTAATGTTAAATAAATAGCCTGCCGTTGGAAAGATTATGATTATAAGAATAAAATTGTAAAAATCTTTTCGGATCTTGTAAAATAAAATATGCAGCCACATGATTAAAGTAGAATTTCAAAATGGGAATAAGACAGGAACCTTGGAAGTATCGAAATTGCTGAAGCCCATGAGTTTAGCCATCTGTTCGTCTTCTAGATTAGTATCGTCTTCCAGAGCTGCAGCTAATACAGGGTCATCGTCATCTTCTTCTGCAGAACAGAGGTATTAAATATGGTGTGGTGTGGAGTGTGGTGTGGTGTAGAGTGTGGATTACCAAGCTGTACTCGCATGATAACACTGTACTAATGAGTAACAAATATATCATATTATAACACTACTGAGTAACAAATAGTATAAGAAGTATAAGACGTTGGCAGTCAAATGTTAGAGGTGAAGGCTATTCTTTACATCGTACACACATGACACATATTCAATTATGTCAATGTATGGACCATTCCCCGCAATAACGTGAAATGTATCACTGGTGAGAAACCAAAGAAGAAAACAAACCTGGATTCGGTACCACCCGAGGTATCCTGGTCAACTTCTTCAGGGTATTAACATAACTATCAACTGCTGAGTCGAATGTTGGGCCTGGTTCTTCCTTCTTCCTGGGTTTCTCTCTTTCTCTTTCTCTGCCCTTTTCCGGGATTACCGGACTACGATCACGTGTTTCTCGGCCAGCTCTTCGTGGACTGGGAGTGAGAGTTGATTTAGTTGTCTACCCTAATGTCTACCCTAATGTCTACCCTAATTTCTACCCTTAATGTTCGGGCTTTTAGGAAACACCGCTGTTTTCAAGAGCGTGAATAGGACAGTTTGGTTTGGTAGTGAAGCGACCAAATCAAAAGTAAATCGAATGATGTTCGGTTAACTTTCCTACGGAAGTCGATTATCCAAACGTTTAAAGTAATTTAATTGTTTAGATGAATTCATAATTATATAAACGATCGAGCTTTGGCATGCTGCTGCTTTTCAAGAAATCATTAAATTTTATTATCATAATAAAGGAACGAAAGGTTGATTTTCGGCCGAACATAATTATCCGAATAAAAACGAAACTTAGTAAACTAAATAAGCTACATCTTGCTTATTGGACGAACTGACCATTTGCATTGCTAGATTAAAAGCCATGTATAAGAACCGGTTTTAAATAATTAATATTAAGCTACTGATCGACTAATTACCTTCTAGTTCTCTCCCTTCGAGGAGACCTCCTGGGACTCCGACTTCTTTTTCGGGGACTTCTAGACCGTCTTGGTGACCTTCTGGACTTTTTATATCGGGCAGGCGGGGACGGGCTGTGACTTTTCTTCTTTTCTCGGTCTAGGCAAAAACAATTTATTGGGAGGTAGGACTTGAGTTAGGACTTAATGATACACACGTGTATATATAATGCTAAAAGTGTTAGTTAACACTTTTAGCATATTAAACACTTTGATTGTTGTTAACTGTACAGTACTGAGTGTACAGTGTATAGCTGGCATAAAATAAATGAGTAAACAAAGAAAATCTGCACAAAGTGTACAATTTGACTTGCATTCAGGAATATGCCCACCCCTAATATAACTTACTTTTCACTCGAGTTCGACCAAATTCGTCTACTTCTTCATCACTCATCAGATCTAAAAAGGTGCTTGGTTACCTTGGTTACTAGCTTGGTTACCTTGACATTTATAACTTTCGAACATAGCAGCGTTAAACATTATAATAGATAAATGATTTGACAACATCAGCTTCAATGAAATTGGAGTAACGATAACTGATGTTAACATGATTTAATTGGCCAGCTGATTGATTCAATTGAAGAGACAATGAGTTAAACGATGTGTTACATCCCTTACATGATTAAAAACTATAGATGTTATTTATTGAATAAACAAATTTGGCAATATAGTGAAATTTACAACTAGCCCACAGATATGTGAGCTATAACATTAACACTCGGGTTTATTGCTGACAAAGGGCACGTGTTTTAGCTTTAGTTGGCACCTGATATCTGAGACACAATTACAGAGTTACAAAACATAGACGATACTGGCTCTCAATTTGTGTCTTGTCTGTTTAAATAATTAACTATCAATATATCATCTTCTTCACTTAGTCTACTAGTATCCACAATACAGATACTGCTCCATTACATTCAAGTCTAATTCGATGAAATTAAAATTCTAACTTAACCGCAGGTGTGGCACACTTGCAAATGTATATTCTGTAACGTTACTCCTTAAAATTAAAATATTGCTCTGTTTGTCGAACCCTAAAAATGTCAAAAACCATTAAAATATGAAATTATTACAAATATATAAATAATCTGATTTCAAGGAATAAAATGTCGAATGCCTGATAGATCAAGCCTCCAATATCAAGGAAACTTGGACAACATCTTTAAACAAACTGGTGGACACAGTTCATGTGAGATCATAGATTGAGTAGCTGTGTTGTTACACTTCTTGTATTATAAACAGGCTGAGTCAGAGAGCAGCTTGTTGTGAGCCTAACTCTTCTGGCTCTGATGTCAGTAAAGATTTTATTTCCTCTTCCTCTTCGAGTGATATGTCCTGAAATAAAAGGGTCAATTTACTCACTGAAATTCTGAGATTGATGATCAGTATTGAGTAATATTTTGAAATCACTACATTTTCTAGTGATGCCATATATCATCATAATGACTTACCAATTTTTCCGAAAACGAAGCTTTTGATTTTAGGACAATGAGTTGACGTTCGGCCTCTTCAGCACGTTTGGTAGTTTCTGTCAGTGATATATTCAGCTCTTCAATCTTTTCTGAAAGAACAATTATTAATATGATTAATAATAATACAACTAAGATGTAAGATGCTTAATGCTTAAATGAAATCATTCTCATAGTAAACTCATGATATAGGGTGGCCCATGATAGTCTACACATCCTTATCTCTTAAAATTGTTACAGGTCGCTGAGATCTTGCTAATTATTTTAAAAACAAAAAGTGGCATAACTTATGTTCTGATAAATATTTTTTCTTCTAAATTTCACAGAATGTTAATAACAAGTAGATGAACCTTTGTGGCAAGTTTTGTGTGATTGAGAGCTTCACTGAGCTTATTTGACCAATTAAGCCCCTGAGCGAGCTAGCTTGAATTTCTCACCCAGAACTGTTTACATTGGTTAATAGAAACCACCAAAAAAAATCCTGGGTAAAAAAATTAAAAAACCACCGATTTATTTATGTTTTACCAATTCTATTCACCACGATGCATCGCACATTCCATTCTCTACACTGCTGTACAGTGTACATCCTATATTTTAACTGCAGATAACTGATAAGGACTATCACAGATGATCCTTCCTGCTTGTTTATATCGTTCTGCTCACTTGCCTTAACAAATTTAAAATTATAGCTGGATGATTAGCCTACAATTTTATCGATTTTACAAACGGTGGTTTGAAATAGGTTTACAGCAGGTCAGCCGATTCCCATGAGATGAGTAAATAAACTTGAAAAGAAAACAAACGATAACGTAGATTTCCGGTCGATAATCCATAATCTTATGAATTCTCATGGGAATTTTACGATAGCAGGGATAGATTTCCCCCTTAAAAGTCGCAACAATTTATTAACCATTAACGATCATCTCATCATGCCTCTACTAACTCTCCAGCAACGGATATTTATTGTTTCTGAATCCAAGGATACCCCCTTCGCAGCTCTTATCCAACTGTTCATAGCGAAATTCCCTGGAATCACTCCCCCTACTAGGAAAGCAGTCTACAACCTTAAGAAGAAATTTATAGAACATGGAGTTGTCACCAACCGACAAAAGGATGCATCTGGTCCACCATCTACGGGAGTGACCTTTGAGAACACTGTGGCTGTAGTAGGATCTGTGGCAGACCACCCCAGGCAATCGACCAGAAGACGTTCGGCCAATCTTGGCATACCTAGGACGACTTTGCAACGCATTCTGAGGACTGAACTGAAACTGTACCCTTATCGCTGGACAGTTCACCACACTCTGCAGCTTCAGGATCCACCAGTTAGTATAGAGTACGCTTTGCTGACTGGTTGCTTCTGAAAGATTCCACAAACGAGGACTTTATCGGAAACATCTGGTGGACCGACGAAGCCAAGTTCTGCCTCCACGGTTCCGTCAACAGCCACAACGCAATACACTGGGGCAGCCAGAGACCTGACAGCGTGCAGCAGAGACCTACTCAGAACTCTCCAAAGCTGAACGTCTGGTGTGCGATCTCTTCTCACGGAATCATCGGACCATACTTCTTCAAGGATGCAGCTGGTGCCACTGTAACTGTGAACGGAGATCGCTAGGTCTACAGATGTTGCAGAGCTTCTTCATACCAGAACTCTTCAACTTCTGTGCACACCACGACCTGGATCCGTCTCTCATGAGCTTTATGCAGGACGGGGCGAGAGTGCACATCCCCAACCGCATTATTGATTACCTCGGTGACCAGTTTGGGAGCATGACGATCGGAGAGAAACTTGCTCAACACTGGCCAGCCCGCTCTCCTGACCTCACTCCTTGCGACTTCTTCCTGTGGGGATGGTTGAAGGATAAGGTCTACGAGAGTCTACCCATCCCCAACCTTGCTGCTTTAGAAGTTGTCATTCGTGACAACTTGCGGAACATCCCCATCACTCACTGCCAGAACTCCTGTTTATCAGTAGCCAAGAGGATGGACGTCCTGAAGAGCCGAGGCGGTGGTCACATTGAGCACCTTCTCTAAACGGTGATTTTAATCGCCAACACAAACGGTGATTTTAATCGCCAACACGGCGGGCAATGGATGAACCTTCTCGTGGTGCCTGTCGAGAAACGCAATTCAATTGATTTCAGTATCGATAAAATTGTAGGCTAATCATCCAGCTATAATTTTAAATTTGTTAAGGCAAGTGAGCAGAACGATATAAACAAGCAGGAAGGATCATCTGTGATAGTCCTTATCAGTTAAAATATAGGATGTACACTGTACAGCAGTGTAGAGAATGGAATGTGCGATGCATCGTGGTGAATAGAATTGGTAAAACATAAATAAATCGGTGGTTTTTTAATTTTTTTACCCAGGATTTTTTTTGGTGGTTTCTATTAACCAATGTAAACAGTTCTGGGTGAGAAATTAACGCTAGCACACTCAGGAGCTAATTTTTTCAGACAAGCTCAGACTCACACAAAACTTAGCACGAAGTTGTGTCTAATTATGATTGACATTCTCTAAAAATTTGAAGCAAAAATATTAATCAGAACGTAAGTTATGGCGCTTTTCTATTCTGAAATAAAATAATTAGCAAGATCTCAGCGACCTGTAACAATTTTAAGAGATAAGGATGTGTAGACTATCATGGGCCACCCTGTATAACTGCAACACAGATCTATTTAAATTTTATCAAGCAGTAACATTAAATCGTTTTAAGACAAAATATCAAAAAATGAGCAGTAAATGGTGTCCACTTACGATATAGCTCTTCATTTTCGTCTATGGTAATTTCCAAAGCCTCTCTGCGCTGTTCAGCTAAGCCTTCAAAATAAGTCTCATTTAACGGTCCACCAGTCAAGGCAGAAATCATTTCCTCAGCAGCATTATCCGATGTACCACAGCTTACTTCTGAGTAGTGTATTTCGGTCTGAGTACTTTTACTTGTTCTTATTTTTGGTGGTGCTGACTTTATGCTTTCTTTCATCATTAACCCACGTTTGGAAACATTTGATCGGTTGGTAATGGTTGTCAGGGGAGCACGACTTGTCATCTTCACATTTTCTTTGTTGGCATTATCACTCATTTCAGAACTAAAAAGCAGTGTTATGGTTAAAGACAAGTGAAAATTAACAACATATAAAATGACAAAATAAAGGCTTGGATATATATCTTTCTTGGGTATATTTTAAATTTCAAATGATGTTAACTTTAAAAGAATTTATCAATAATAACTTTAAAAGTTGATCTGATGAGACCCAAAAACGTAATACGGTTATAAAATACAGTTGAGTTGCATGTAAATTATCCCTTTACAGGTCTTTTCCTGTGAAGATACAAATACATCAGAACAGTCTCGATACACATCACCAATGAAATTGTATCAAAGATTAGATGATGGAGAAATAAAAATTCAATGCAAACATAATTATAAATCGATTCTTTAACCTTCTTATTCCACCTTGCGCATAATAGTCACACCATATCATGTGCTTTAACTTATTAACAATTGATATTAATGATAAAAATTTGCATAATTCAAATTCTAAGCAAGAAATGATAGAAAATTATCAGAACTAATCAAGCTCATTGTTTAGGGAATTTAAACATATTACCAAATCCAGAAACACTATTACTATTCCCATTAGCAAACAAGTCATTGATCATATTGTCTGAAAACTGTGTCCCGTAGTGAGAAGAATGAGAAGGGGTCTGAGATGGATGGAAGGGCGTCAACATGGGCGAGAGATGGGTGGGAGTTTGCGAGGGATGTCCTGGAGTTTGCAGGGATGAGGGAAAAGGCAATTCCTCTTCCTCTTCATCTTCACTACTACTCATAGCAAACATAAGTTTATTTTTTCTGCTTTCCTCACGAATTGATTCCTCATATTGCTCAATATTGTCTCTATATTTCTCAAAATATTTCTCCCTTTCCTCTTGAGGCAAAGCATTCCAGTCTTTCGCTAGTTGTCTAGTGATTTCGTTTCTTGCATCAAACATACCTGCAGGCTGTTCCCGAATTAATTTTTTGACAGAGTCTCTGTTTTCCTTACAGTACAAAAAGAAGGCATTTGGGGGTTTCTTCATTTGAGCTTTAGCGTCTAAAAGTGGTTCTGATATGGCACCAGGATAAGCTATTTTCTCCCAAACTGAAGGGCAATGTAGTCCAAAATCATCACCATGATTTTTCAGAACATGCACAAAATAATTGTTGTGCTTAGAAACACGTCGGGTATTCTTGTTTAAACGTTTTATCTTCGCATGATACAATTTATTACTTTGCAAGACTTGATAAGCATACTCTAAGATTTTCAGATATTTGTTCCTCCAGAACTCATTGGCAACATCGTCACAGTTACTCATCTTGCTTTGTAAAACAATTACATTCTACAACCACATGCTGCAATAAATTGTATTAAGAAACCAAGACTCAAACTGAATTTACGATGAACAAAAATCGGACCAATATCAACTGTTATGAAATATATTATTCGAATTATCACAATCATTAATACTATCATGTCAGCAATGTATACTGTTGTGCTGCTTCTCATTACTATCTAATTCTTAACTTCAACTTCAATTTCTCGAGTGGAAATAAACGAAAGTGAAAGGGGAACAAAGAACCCAAGAAGAGTTAGCAATTCAATATGTTTTTTAAGTACACTCCAGTTGAGTTAAAAGGGACATCCTGTATGCTGTAAGATGGAATAGGACGTTTGGCCAGGGAAAATTTTCAACAGAAATACACAGATCGCAAAACACCTGTCTACTATCATGAGGGTCCAACACATCGTGGACGTTCAAGTTTAAGGAGTGGTGGTTTGTATAAATTGTAAACGAAGGTTGCAGGTTCGAGACCCACAATATGCCATCAATCCGATCCCTAGCACCAAGGGTGAAAGGACTTCATCGGATATATGCAGACCTAAAGATAACTCAGCCGAGCCACCGGAAAATTGCGAATGAAGATGAAAATTCAAACTGGCATAGCCAGAAAATTCCCCTCCAATACACATCTTTAGTGTTTAAAGAAGGTCCTGTTACATTCAGCATCATTAGCTCCAGCTGATCCTTTGATGATCCACATCTTTCTTTTATTTAGATGATCAAAATTTGGTTGGACTGACACATTATCAATGGCAGGACCTAGGTTACAGGACCAGGCCAGTTTTAGCTTTTTGCTGTATTATATAATTTAATAACAATGTTATTCGGCATTTCAGCTGATAGTGCAAAAATGAATTATAAAATCTATATGGATTATAGATTTCATGATGATTGTTCAACAATAATAACAGCTTTTATTAAACATGAACCTAATCAGCGTTTTGTTTATTGTTTAGTACCAATCACAAAGGACTATGCTCACCAAAAAGTTAACGCATTAAAGTGTCATTCAGAAGCTTCTTCAAGTTTCGGAGCTCAAAGCATGATAATGCACGGCGCAATCGCAAATTGGAAATAAAGCGACAACTTCCAAACATGTGTTACTCAAGTCATGTTATTTGACGCGCAATTTTCTCTGCAGGCATTTGTTTTATTTCATATTTCCATTTTGCATATATGTGAAACTTCTTCTTTTGATTGGTCGGCGTCGACTGTAAGCCTTCCTTGCGGTGGCTTTCACAACGCGTCCCCATTCTCCAACTCCTGCTGCTGGAGAGAGAGACTCCCAAATTATATACCATAAATATATTATACATAGATATCGACAACAGACTCCGAGAGTCTTGAAGTTCTGTTACCACCGCCCCTGGTGCAACCCCTTACGGGTTAACGATGGGGAGACAGGGACTTCCAGGGACGGTATATGTGAAACTTAATTAACAATGTGTATTAATTTCGGAAAATAACCATCGACACGTTTCATTTTTGGCAGGAGTTTGTTATTTTAACAGTTTTAAATTGGCTTAAGCAGCTGCACGATATTTTGAATTTTAAACTAAAGCTAAATTACTGCTCCGCGCGCGTAAACATTTAAAAAAAATTTCCCGGAGATCTACACGTACTTAACAATTGCTTTAACCAGAGCCCTTTTGCTTGCAGTAGCGCGCGTCTCATGCAGCTATGTCATATGTGAAATTTAGCAAGTTAATTGTAAATTTTTAATGTAAAAATTAAATCATAGACCAGCAAGCCAAGTGACAAATGATAAATAATTTTAATTTTGAAAATTTTTGATTTACTTGCATATTTCAGGTTATATCCAAAAAATTGAAAATTGATAAATTATAAAATAGACATTTAAATTTTAAAAGGCGCGCACTATATTTCTGAAAGATTTATATTTCCTTGAAACCTCATCACTCATATCAAGCAGAAATATTGATGATAAATATGATTAATCGACATGACTGGTGCCATCCAAAGCCCTTGGGCTTCCAAAAACACATGGTTAGGTGAAACTTAAGCTTACTATGTAGTTTTAATTTGAATATGTACATTGCACGACAATAAAAAACGTTTTTTTGACACATTGCAAATTTATAATTGCAAATAAATGAAATTATTTTTTATGTTTCATAACACAAGCATTTAAAATTTATTGACACCGTCAAAAGGGCGTTTAAAATGATTGTAAAGCTAAATAAATCATTCGAATCAATTCAAAAGCTATCATTAAATAGTTCTTGACACCTTTTGTATTAGTCATTTGGTTTGAAAATTTGAATTTCTAATGAAAAATTAAATTTCGTTTGGTTTGATTTCATTTTCAAATCACATAAGTGACACTAGCATTAATTTGTTTTTAAAAATACAACAATTTATTTTATCATTACTGTTTTATTTTGATAAGCAGAGCATATCTTTAAAAGGGGAAAATTCTTGTAGGTTTACAACCTACCAGGACGCGCGCCGAGTTGGACTCGTCCAATATATGGAACAGATATTTTACGAGTATCACCCGTTAAGAAAATTCCAGAGAAACAAACTTTAGAGGTCGCAACGTGAGACAACGTCGTTATGCCCCTATTAAAGCCGAGAGGGGAAATTACTAAAAATTAGTAGTTAAAATAGTAGATATAGAGTCTAGACGTAAGCTTAGAGCCTGTACATCAAACTTCCAATAAGCTGTATTTATATTACAAAGATCATGGATCTCGTAGTATAGTAGTTAATATCTTTAAAAAGGTATAAAAAGGGGAGCTCTCACTCAGAACCATCGGTGTATGAAATCATACTGGTTAAGATATAATGTCTTCTAAGATGCTTAGTTAGAGCTTTTCCTTACAGTACTACATGAACCATTATAGTCCTATCAACCACTGGGGGTATGGGAAGGGAAGCTAATAAGTTCTTCAAGAAATTAGCGGATAAACTTTCTAGGAAATCAGGCCAACGATATAGTGAAGCAATGACATTTATTAGGAAGAGAGTAAGATTTGACCTTTTGAGAACAACAGTCATAGCTCTTAGAGGAGAGAGAGGGTTAAAAAGTAGTAGTGCAGTAAAAATAGCAGAATTAGATATTAATTTGGAGCCAGTTCTTTAAACTGGCTTACTTATACTACTTAAAGGGTGTTTATAAATTTTATTTAGTTTTCTATTGAATTTATATTGAATTTTTATATAGGGTAATTGTTATATTATGTGTATATTGTTTGAATTATATTTTAAACATGAACCATTATCCGTCCCTATACTCCATGTATCGGTACCCTGTACTCCATGTATCGGTAAACAATCAATTAATTTCATTTAAGTTTAGTATTGTAAATAGTTAATTTGACGAAGGGAATACGTCTATTTTACCCTGAGTTATGTTTTAGTTCAATCTTGACACAATTTTAAAATTATAATTTAATTATTTTATATATATGTATTGTCCATAACTAGGGTGGCCTGCTAACAGAACCATGATCTGCCTTGATTCATCCTTCAGCACAGAGAAAAGCTCCTTTTTTTATACATTATGATTACAGAGGATCTGATATTTAGATATATATTGCTGTGCTGTAAAAATTGACTTTATTTATTTATTTATTTATTAATTTCATGCTCAAATCATTATACATGGTTGCAATGAGTAAAACCCCGTCTTTCCCTGACAAGAAAACTGTCCTTAGGAGGTACATTCCAATTTTGGATGGTGTTAGATAATCAGAGTATTGCTCTTTTTTCTTTATGATTGAGATGAATTTTCGAGTAGTATATAGTTTGTTTAGGATGGTGTGTGACAGTAACGAGTCCGCATGGCAGTGAAAGCAGCCAGTAAGTTTATCGCCTCGACAAAGATCGCTGGATACCTTCTTTGTGCAACTTTTTCCATCATTGCTAGTACGACACTCAATTTTGGGACATGGAATGTTTGTGGTCTCTCCACCACTCACAGGCAACATCTTGTTGCAGAGGACATCGACAGATACGATTTAGATATTTTGGCCTTACAAGAAACCAAAACTCGTGAATTCTTGGAAACAACACTTCCCGGTCATCATAGACTGTTTCTGTTTGACCAGAAGCAGGGTAGACATGGAGGTCTTGGTTTTGTTGTTAACAAGCGTTTTATGGACAGTGTTTTATCGCATCATCAGATCAGTGACAGAGTCATTTACATGGACGTTAAACTAAAGCCCAATTGGGTAAACAAACCACCTTGTTATATCAAAATTATTAATTGTTACAGTCCTACTAATCCAAAATCAGTCCAGAACCCTCAACTAGCTGATCAATTTTATGGTGAGCTTCTTGAGGCTATCAGTGTTCCTGCTCGATTTGAAGTATGGATGTTAGGTGACTTCAATGCCAAGTTAGGCAAGCGTTCACTTGTTGATGAAGAAAATGGTTTACAGCAGCACATAGGTAGGCATGGTGTTGGTAGAAGGAACGAGAATGGAGAGAGATTGTTACATTTTCTGGCAGCAAATGGCTTATTTGCTACCAATACTTCATTCTCCCACAGCAGCAGGCATATAACTACACGCACTGGATGGATAAGAGACCAATCCACCCGAAAGAGTAAACCATACTTCTCACAGATAGACTATATACTTTGCAAGTCCAGGAGCAAAGCACTACTGACTGATGCAAGGTCATATGCGGGAACTAAGCACCGCAGTGACCACAAGCTTGTAGTTGCAAAAGCAGATTTTTCCCTGCGTTATAGTTTCTACAGGAAGAAGAGGACTACTCAGAAGGATTTCAACACAACCACTCTTGTAGGTAGCATTGCAGCGCAACAACAGTTTAAATCTGCACTTACTGATAATATCAACCGACTAGTATCTGAACCTGACTATTCTTCTAATGATACTTGTCAACAGTTCGGTAAACTAGTTAAAAGTGTTGAGACTGCTGCTATCTCCACTGTGGGTCTACGCGAGCCACAGCGAAAGAGACACCACTCTTCTGATAGTGAAGTTGTTGAAATGTCAGAGGAAAGAAAACGATTGCTACAACTTCTGAATAATAATGAATACAGAGACAGAAAGGACTT